GTTTTGGAGCCCAGATTTCAGAACTACTGGAGGTGTAAGCTGGATTCAGAAGGTGCAGATCACCCAGGATCACATTGCAGATCATCCTATGGTTAATAAATAAATAAATAAATAACTTTATTGTCATTGTACATGTATACACAGTATACTCATACAACAAAATTCACTTAACACCCAAAGACCAGGTCCAACACACATAACAATCCCCAAACACACTCCCACCCACCACAATTCCCCACCCTTAAACTACCCAAGCATCCACACAACAGACCAAGTAATACTGTCCAACAGCTTTAGTTCATTGTAGAGTGCAATTATAGCTCTGGGATAAAAACTATTCAGAAAACGTGTGGTCCGAGTTTTAATTGTTCTGTATCTTCTGCCAGAAGGCAACAGTCCAAAAAGATTGTAAGCAGGATGGGAAGAGTCTCTGAGAATGTTATGCAACTTTCTCAAACAGCGAGATTCGAAGATGTCGTCCAGGGCTGGTAGTTGGAGTCCGATGATATTCTGGGCAGTTTTAATGGAAAAGACAAGAGAATTCCAAAACATACTTCTTTTTGCTTTATTGATTATACTAAAAATTGGAGAGTATAAACAACAAAAATTGTAGACAGCATTTTAAAGCAAGGGTGCATACTATTAGTTATCTGCATACTGAACAATTCATATTCTCACCAAACAGTAACAGTTAGAACAGAATATGGAGTGACTCAGTGGTTCAAAATTAGTAAAGAAGCATATCAAAATTACACAGTGTCATCATATCTATTTAGCTTGTATGCAGAGTATACCTGACAAAACCAGAGGAGAAAATTGGAAATAGAAATTTAAATTACTGGAAATAGTATTAAGATATATTGTTAATACCATTTGGATGGCTGTGAGGAACACTTAAAAAAATCTCTAATAGAAGATGGATGTGCAAAAGCTGCTGTTATTCTCTGTAGCGATATTTTTAAAAGCAAATGTTACATCAACTACTAGTGCCAATGCCATGCAAATTAGTGAAGAAGTACTGTAGGGAAACTAATACTCAAAAATCTGAAATAAAGATATCTGCTACTTGAACTAGATAGATAAGGACTATGACAAATCAAGGCAAAATATTGAACTGTAGGGGGATCATAGTTCCAACAAAGTTACTATTACTATTAATTATAGGTCCTTGACTTACAGTAGTTCATTTGGTGACCATTTGAAGTTATAACAGCAATGAAAAAGTGATTTATGATACTTTTTCACATTTATGACAATTGCAGCATCCCCATGGTCACATGATCAAAATTCAGGCACTTGGCAACTGACTCATATTTATGACGGCTGCAGTGACCCAGGGTCATGTAATCCCCTTTTGCGAACCTCTGACAAGCAAAGTCAACAGGGAAGCCAGATTCACTTAACAACTGTGGCAAAAAAAGTCGTAAAATGGAACAAAACTCACTTAACAAATACCTTAGTAACAGAAACTTTGGGCTCAATTGTGGTCGTAAGTGGAGGACTACCTGTACATGGCCTTCAGAAAGGTTAAATGAGGAAAAATCGATGCTTTTGAACTATGATGCTGAAGAAAACGCGAGGATATTTAGTATAATAATAAAAACAAACCATTCAATACTGAATACAGTAAAACCAGACAACTAATTAGAAGCACTAACAATGACAAATGATGCAAAAGCAAGCCTGCGCCTGATGCTTAGAAAATTTGAAGACAATTGAATAAAAAGGCTTGTAGAAGACCAGATGGCTAGGTATTTTCAATGATATCACAAACTTGAACTTAGAGAAACTTTAAAAAGTAGTTACTGATGGGTAAGCATGATGAAATGTTTATTGGTTCACAAAGATCAGAAGTGAATGACTCAACGTTCTATAACTAGAATGCCAAGTTTCTGTTTTTGTTTGGTTTGTAATACATTTTCAGGAGCATCTGTCTTGGGAGACTTTTAATTAGTTCTTTAATTCTAACTGAATTTTCACAGAGAAAAACAATAGAAATTTTTAAGAAGAATTGCTAACATAGTAAACACGCTTTAACATTCAGTGACCTGAGTTGAAGGCCCTGGATTCAAACTTTTCCAAAATTCAATGTAAACTGCTATGTTAGTGGTAGAGCAGCAGCTTTATTGTCCAGGGGCCTGGATTCATTTTTGGACATTTCCACACAGAACTGGGAATTTGTGGCTAAAACTCAGGAAACCTAATATCAGTCAGTATAGAGATAATGCTAGATATTGTAGATTAGTGATCTTGTACAGTATAAGTTAGCTTATAGAGTTTGGTCAACTCTGTTCTTACTATGATGACACTGGTTTTGCAATTTGACCTTTATAATTCCTTGGAGCTTCAACAGGAAAATCTTTCTTATCCTCTGTGTAGGTACTACAGTTTTTATTCATACTTCTCACAGCTGACAATTCTTAAAGCAAAAAGAATTTCAAAATTTATATTGTCTGTGCAATTTAGTTCTCTTTTTTTCTACTATATCTTTTTTGTTTTTGGTGTTATTTGATATGAAATTAATCTCTCAGATAAGAGATTGCTTATTAATAATCAGTAAGGATGAACTTAACACGCCATGGCTGAGTCATACATGGGATGCTTGCCATTACATTTCTGTTGTTTTGATGACTTTCAGTTGAATGCATGAATTGTTGCCTTTTGAAGCACTGTATTTGAATTTATCTGGAGCAGTATTCTTTCTATAACAATCTGATAATTCGTATGTGCATCAGATAATAATGTGTTGTTTTAGATAAGAAATAGGGGATATGCAAATTTGAATCAACTGTGAAGAAAAAACACTGAACATTTTGACCAATTGGTGAAAATACCCTTCACCATTGGTGAAGGGTATTATTCTAACCTTTTCCAAAAATATTGGTGCATTTAAAAACTTTTTTTAGTAGATTGATTTTTGTAAGATTTTAAAATGAAATACATAATTACAAAATGAAATACATTCTTAAAAGAGAGGATCGAAAGATGAGCTCATCTTAAAATTACCTTTCCATGCAAAATTACCATTCCAAAGTTGGTATTTTCAACATTATAACATGAAACAAAGGAAAGTCAGGTAGGTAATATGTTTTCTTCCCTAATAGGTAGCACCATATGAGGTTTTTTAAAGGTGGGGTTTCTTAGTTTTGAATAAATAAGATAATGTAGAGCAGGCAATTCTGGATTACAAAATATATAATACCTGAATGTTGGCCATATGGTTTAGAAATTATAGTTCAAAACATCTGGAAGGTACTAGATTTTTATCACTAATTTAGAAGCTCAAATGTCTACCTTGTATGTTTGCTGCACAAGAAAAGAGGGTGTAAGTTGATTAAATAAAATTCAAAGCATGCTTTGAAATAATTTTATTTTTATTGTCTGTAATTACAGGAAATCAAACCTTATTAAATGTAACGACTAAATATAACTAAAATTACAAATTAATTAGCACATTTCTCATCTATTGTGGGCACACCTTGATAAACATCATATAATGGAACTACATATAATAAATATAATTTCAGCGGTCATTTTTATAAAAGTATTGTTTTGAGACTCTAATACGCTTCCTGTTTGTATAAATTGCTCTTTGCTGTGCAAGATAAAGAAAAGGCATTATGAATCGTCTTAATATCATTTTTTTCAATTTGTTCCCTCATATATTTCAGAATGTATTTTACTTTCAAGAGATCAATAGATCAAGCAACAAATAAAAAACTATTTTTGATGAAAGTGCTAACTTTAATAAGTGCCTGTCGTCATATTAAAGACATCAATGAAACTAGAAAACTATTGTTTCCCATTTTATCAAAACCATAAGGCTGTGATTATTAGCATTGGATCATACCAATTTATTAAACCAACTTCAAATTATGTGCTACAGCCTTCCCTTGTCCCAAAGCTGGTACTATAACTATATATGTTTTGGTTTGGGCAGGATAAGAATCTGTGCTTAATTATAAAGCACAAAGAGGTAGTCTTTGGTTAATGGCCATCTGTTCAGTGACAGTCAAAGTTTCTGCAACACTGAAGAAATTGTATTTAAAGTCCTGTGCCTGTAAAGTTAGGTTTTACAGCTCTCTTGCAGTCATACTAGTCACATGTCAGAATTTGGGCCTCTGCTTCAGCCCCAGTGCTGCTTGTGCCACCTTTGCCATTTAGGAGTGCCATCTCAAGCCCAGTGTCACAGTGTCAACTCCAATCACCTCTGCTGCCCTGTAATCTGCTAGCCCTTCCAGTCCCAAATGACCTTCAACTTCTTTTTCTTCCCATTGCTGATAAGGTGTACCCGGCCCGGCCCTGTGAAAGGCAATTGCTGGCCACACCAGGCCTTCTGCTCTTCCCCATATTACACACATGTGCAGCCTTCTTGTGATACTTTAGAAACCCTCAGAAACCTCGTGAAGCAACACAAAGAGGCTGTGCACAATTTGGAGAAGTACCGTACATGCAAACACACACTGCCTTGTTGAAGATATGTTGGGCCAGGGCCATTGGAGCACAGGGTTATATAACAATAACACAAATCAAATATACCGCACCAAGAAATGATAGCTTAACTATCCGTTTGTGAGGTGGAATCCCAGCTCTCAAATAAGACTCGAAGTGGTTCCCTGTGGAAACCAGGTCTGAACGGCTTTTCTGAATGCCAACAGGGTTGGTGCTGATAGAATCCTAGGGCGTGCTGTTACGCAGGAGGAGATAGTAACTGAAAGACACATCTTCATATCTGCGGATGTTAATACTTTTTTAGAGGGACCTTCCAGATTTATTTATCAGCACTGATTCCTCAATACTGTGTGAGGGTCTTCCAGTGGATCATTCACCAGGAGATTTAATTCCAGGCTTTGAACCCGAATGGCTACTACTGCACGTTCCACAAAGTAAATATTTTTGAAATCCTAGTGATATAATTTAAATATATAATTAAAATATAATTAGATTTTTTTAAAAAATGTACATATTAACGAAAGTCTACATTCTGTGTTTTTCTTCAGATCCAGCAGCAGCAGCAGCAGCAGCAACAGCAGCAGCAGCAGCAGACTTCAAATAAGCGTCCCAGTAACAGTACCCCTCCACCAACCCAGCTGAATAAGATCAAGTACTCAGGGGGACCCCAGATTGTAAAGAAAGAACGACGGCAAAGTTCCTCTCGTTTCAACTTAAGCAAGAACCGGGAGCTTCAGAAGCTTCCTGCCCTTAAAGGTGAGAACAGATTTTCTGGGCAAAGGGCAATGGGTTGTTAGGAAGATTTCAGCAGAGGAACAGATGGCTTTAACAGCCATGCTAATTTGAGTGGCTGTAGTACAAAAAGGAAATACCTCTTAAGTCTGGCAAGATGTCATGCTGCATTGCATTGTATTAAATTTTCCAGGGATCTGTCATTTAGAAGATATAAATAATTGTAGTTATTCTCTCATGTGGTAAAGGAATTTACAAGGAGAGCATGGATGAGACAATTAATCAAAGTCAGAAAGCTGATGTTGTGTAGTTGTTAAAATAAGATTTAAGATTTAAATCCCCACTAAATAATGATGTAGCTCATTGCATGATTTGGGATCAAACATTCTTAGTCCATTGTTTTCACAAAGTTATGAGGATAAAATGAGGGAAATTCCTATATGGATCATTTCAAGCTCCTAGAGATGGTCATAAATAAACTATATTATGCATTAGCCAAATTCCATACTTAGCACAAGTTGCTTCCATATATTTGCTGAGAAGTAAGGTAGTAAAGTGTGTGAAAGATTTGGTTGTCAGAGGCACTTTGTTTTGGGAAGTCCCTGCAAGTCTTTGCAGAAGATACTAGGACCTTGGATGGAGATGTCTCATGCCTGGGATGTCATATGGGTTTTGGCATCATATTCCCATACAGGAGACAGATATGTGGCATCATATTCCCATACAGGAGACAGACTATAATGCCTAGTTGCATAAAACTGACTAAATATTTTAAAGAGGTAATAAATCTATTGATTGTGTTGAACCACATAGTATTTTGTGTGAGCTCTCTATGCGGTTCTGTGTCTTCGGCAAGTAGTATTTCTTTTCCATGAGCTCATTTGGTTTATAGAAAGATCCTCTTCACAACCAAAATACTGAGGCCCTGCCAGTATTACAACCCTGATGGTTGTGAAAGAAATCACAAGTAGTACCGCTTTAATTATTTACTAAGATTTAAGGTGTGGTTCTGAAAGAAATACATGGAGGATAGGCAAATGAATTGAAAGAGATCTATTGAAAACAGAATTGTTGACTAGACAGATGGACAATTAACTGGCTTAGGAGAACAGTTTTTTTGATGAGAAATAGTACAGATGTGATACATTTCTTACTTAAAGCACTACAGTTGTTTTATTTCCTCTTGCTACTATTAACTTATATTTCATGGCTGTTTAGTTTATTTTTCAAGACTATTTGTTTCCCTGTTAGATAAGACAGGGGCTGGGTGTAGGAGAGAAAACTTAAATTCCCATGTGGTTGATAATTGAAGAACAATATGAACATCTTATCTATCACAACAGTATTGTCTGTGAGCCTAGAGAAAGGAGAAGAGACCTTATAATGGTACAAGGAAGGAGAAGAAAAGCTGCTATGTGGTCTTTTTGGATTTTGGAACATCAAAATACTTAGAGCAGAAAGGAAATATTTTTGTCTTTTATCTTCTCCCTCAGATGCTCCTCCTCATGAACGGGAAGACCTCTTCATACAGAAGTTACGACAGTGCTGTGTCCTCTTTGATTTTGTTTCTGACCCACTCAGTGACTTGAAATTCAAAGAGGTCAAACGAGCAGGACTCAATGAAATGGTGGAATATATTACTCATAATCGGGATGTTGTCACAGAAGCTATTTATCCTGAAGCAGTTATCATGGTAAGTATTGATCTCCTTCTGGCTGCTGCTCCCAGTAAAGCAGCTTAAAAGAGGGATGGACAACTTTTTTTTCAACTTCAGGATACCACTGTACCTTCTGGCTTAAGGCACCTAAAAACAGAAACATAGAATTAGAAGATGATAAGGGACCAAAAACTAAGACTTATAAGAGCAAGATAAGGGAACTGTATATGCTTGATTTTGAGAACAAATATAATAGCATGCAATAATAACTTAGGTATATAAAAATACTTTCCAAGTTCTTGAAGGGATGTTACCAAAAAAGAGGCCAAACTTATTTTCTGTCATCCCAAACCATAGGACAGGAATTACAGGAAGATGGTTATCAGTTGAAAAAGAATAAATTCTTAACAATAATACCAATTCAACAGTGAGAAGTGATGACCTGCCCTTTTCTTGATGTGTTCAAGGAGAAGCTAAACAGCTAATTAGAAACTAATCTCTTTTGTTGGAATGCTTTAATTTGAATTACTATGATAAAGAGGGAGATACTGATGGCATAATGGCCCTCCTATTTTTAATTCTATAAAGTCCCAAACCTTGTATTCTGGTGGTTCACTTTAGCTCTTTTTATCCAGCTTTTTAAAATGTGGAAAAGAGATAACAATGTAAGCTCTAGCTCCCCTTTTCCACTTCTGACTTCTGGGCAGGGCAGTATGAAATGGTATTGCAGCCATGTTAGGTTGAATGAAGTTATAGTGTGCCTTGTGATTGAGAATCATGAAGCTTGTGTATCTAATTACATAAAGTTGTTGTTCTGCTTCATATATTTTTGTTGAGACAAACTTGTGAATAGCTATGGTTAGAACCAATGTCTGATTCCACATTAAGGTTAAAATTTGACAGTAGTTAAAGAAGGCTTATGAATAACATTCTAAAGGAGCGCTATGGAGGAATTGGCAAAAGCAAACACCTGAATGTACTAGCTAGATGATATTAGTCATTTCTTGATAAGCTGAAGGTGATGTGCATTAATAGCATGAGAGATGGGTATACAGTAATGCATAGAAATAGACACCAGTAAGTCATGGAATATTGAGAGTGTTTCTCATTACAGACTTAGAAGGCTTTTTTTATTTTTAATGAAACTTTTTCCTTCCTGGAATTGGGGAGAGTGTGTTGCTCTGGTTAGCAGTTTCCTAATGAGGAGGGATTGCACTGAGTCATTGAGTCAATCTGCAGAAACATCTCAATTTTATTGTCACATTTCTCAGTTTTCAGTGAATCTCTTCCGGACACTTCCACCATCATCTAATCCTACAGGAGCAGAATTTGACCCTGAGGAAGATGAACCTACACTAGAAGCTGCTTGGCCACATCTCCAGGTAATAAACAGTATTTTGCCATGTAACTATCCCTTTTTTCTCCTTATGGAAATGTTTAAGCAACAACTTGAGCTAGAAGTTATTTAAGATTTTTAAAGAGATTTTTTTTAAAAGAAGAGATTGGACAACAGAGGTGGTATTCAGCAGGGTTCTGACCAGTTCTGGAGAACCGGTAGTGGAAATTTTGAGTAGTTCGGAGAACCGGTAAATACCACCTCTGATTGGTCCCACCCCCATCTTATTCTCTGCCTCCCGAGTCCCAGCTGATCGGGAGGAAATGGGGATTTTGCAGTAACCTTCCCCTGGAGTGGGAATGGAATGGAGATTTTACAGTATCCTTCCCCTGCCATGCCCACCAAGCCACGCCTACAGAACCAGTAGTAAATTTTTTTGAATCCCATCACTGTTGGACAACCATTTATCTGAAATTGTATATGGTCTTCTGCTTGAGCAGGGATTGGATTAGACCTCCAAAGTCCCTTCCATCTCCGTTGTTCTGTTCTGTTCTATGAATTATGATGTTTAGAGACATTGCTAGCTCATACGAATTTAAACACAGTGGTCAATCTGAAGATTGCATCATACTGCTGGTCTTCTATTCAAATGTTTTGGCCTTTTTGCCCAGGAACAGCCAACTTTTTCAATATGATTATGCCCATTTGTTGTTGTTTTTTTTATTTGATTTATATGCCACCCTTCTCCAGAGACTCAGGGCGGCTTACAATGCGTTAAGCAATAGCCTTCATACTTTTTGTATATTTATACAAAGTCAGCTTATTGCCCCCACAATCTGGGTCCTCATTTTATCTACCTTAGAAAGGATGGAAGGCTGAGTCAACATTGAGCCTGGTGAAATTTCAACTTACAGTGATTGTAGGCAGCTGATGTTAATAACAGTGCTTTAGTCTGCTGCGCCACCAGGGCTCCTATTTGAGTTCAGTTGTTAGTTTGCAAAAAGTTATTCATCCTGCTTTAGATCATGAGCTACCTATCTGCTTCTTGGATCAGTTGAGAACCAGTTTAGATAAGAAACTATACAATTTTCTTTCATTAGCTATGGTGTGGCATCAATTTAATTCTAAAAGGGGACTTAAAATGTTCATGGAGGATAGAGCTTGTCACAATCAATATTATTTGTTGGATATATAAAGCTGCCAAATTGAGACAATCTGGAGAGCATACAGTATTAAAACAGAATTAAAAAATATTTGCTTATTTTTTACAGAAGCAAATGTATTTTATTAGAAGTATATTTTAAAGAATAAAAATCCTTCAATATGTTTGATAAAGAGAACTTATAAAACACTGTATAAAAATGCAACTATAAAATCCAACAGCTATTATACAATGCATTGGAGGAAAAATACAGATAAATCCAACCCTCCATCATCCACCGGCCAAGATCACAAATTATAAAGATGCTAAAGAAAATACAGGTTATAATACGGATTGTAAGGATCCTCCTGCCTCTTTTTTTACAGCCCTTGGAGGTACATTCTAATAATGATTGTTTAAAAATGGTGGTGTCATTTTTAGTGCTTAATACTAAATCAACAGAATTCACTCAGGCAAACTCAGGGGAAAGAAGGGATGCCCTGCCCATGGATATGATTCAGCTTTACTAATTTTTACTAAATCACCCAACCCACTACAGTTCCCTCCCCACCCAGAATTCCCCAGCCTTGCTTGAAGGGAGTGGAGGAAATGCTTTAATGATTCCAGTAAGAGCAATTCACTCAATACTTTCTCCTGTACTTTTCATCGTGTAGGGGGGTAAAATTGTGATTGTCAAGCAGTACATAGTTTTGTTTCTGCTAAAAAGATAAAGTTTTTCTAGGGTGTAATTCAGATTGGAAAGTGTATATCTGCTCCAAAAGGAGAATTGTGACTCTATAATGGATTAATGTTTTATACTTACATCTTCAGTCTAAATCAACAGACCTTCTTAGTCACACACCACTTCTGCTTTGGCATTTGTTCAGGAAAGGGTTTCCATTTGCAGACTCAGTTATTTTTGTGCTACAGAAACACAGCCCTCAGGGTTTCTACTAGAGAAAATGAACAGCCATTGGTATGAAGTAGAATAAGGCTGCTATACTGAATTCAAAAGTATAATATACACATTTGGGTGGGTCCTGGTCTTTGAATTTTGATTTTTGTGTCTTATTTGTTAACTGAAAAATTGATGCCAAGCAGCAAATCCCCAGCTGTTTTAGGCTGATTTAAAAAATTCAAGCAGGTTAATACTTGGATGGGAGACCACAGGGAAATCTCAATGCCATAAGGCTAGTCTGGGAAGTTGAGAAAATATTCTAGAAGATAGCTAATCTTTTCACCATTGTTGGCAGGAAAACAAAACAAATACCTTCCTGAAGTATGCCTGAGTCAAACTCACTAATCATACTTGACTTGAAAGATATATGTATAAATAATCCTTTTTTGTCTCATTCTTTTTTCAGCTGGTATATGAATTCTTTCTGAGGTTCTTGGAGTCTCCAGACTTTCAACCAAACATTGCCAAGAAATATATTGACCAGAAGTTTGTATTGTCAGTAAGTAATCATCATTTCCTTCCCCCTCCTTCCTTTTAGCCCCAATTTATTTTTGCACCTCAGTTGAAATAGAAGTGGTGAGGAGAGTGCAGAGAAGCAGGCAGACATCTCTTTTGGGAATTCTGTAGAATATAATTTTGTGGCTACAGATCCTATAGCAGATAATTTTTGGATTATGCTGCTGAGTTGCTTATTTTTCATTTTAGCAATAATTGACATAAAAAGAAATGTAGGTCCTCCATGATTATTTTCTTTTGTACTTTGTTTTACAGATAATTTACCCTGATAGTAATATGTATTGTTTCCTAATGATTTTTGTTGTTGTACAATCTGCTAGATGTTTAGACTGGATCTCTCATTTTATCCATCTATTGAGTCCTTCCCAAGGACCTGGGATAGGCAGATGTTGTTGCTTGATATTCTAATTATAATTGGTGTATCATCATTATTATTACTTAATTAAATTTGTATGCTGCCTGATTTTTAATGAGTCTAGGTTGTTTACGACAAAGAAATTACAATAAAACCAAAAACATTAAAAAGTGTGTAATTTTTCTTGTTAAATTAACTCCCCTCCCCAGCATAAAATGATTCAATATATTTTAAATTTTACTAAAACTGGAAAAAAATGGTTTAAATTAATGGAATAATTACCAACAAAATATGTTGGTCTTCTTTAAAAAAATATATATGTGAAAATATAATTATAAATTTCCAGAGGACAAGTGAATGTAGATTGCCTGTGAGAATACAATTGTGAAATTATATAAAAATATAGTTACATAAAAAAACTTTTCTTAATTGTTTGAGTTGTTCATGAATGTTGGCCTGTAAGGTTCTTATTTATTGTTTTAACATTTTACTGCTTTATATGTTTTTTTAAATTATATGACTGTAAGCCACTTAAAGTTGTCTCGGTGAGATGGCTAGCATAGAAGTCTAATAATAAATAAATAATAAAAAATAGATGAATATCTTGTCATATGAAAAGGGCAATGGAGGCTAGAGATACAGAATACTTGTTGATGTAGTATTTCTCTATTTGTGATACATCAGAGTTTTAAATAAAGTCACTTCATAAGAGTTGCAGTTTATGCATTATTGGAGTCTTATGAAAAGCTTCATGGCTTGTTTTCTGGGTAGTTTAGAAATCTTCATGGCTAAAGATGTTGGTGCCTCCTTGCGCTGACACCTTTCAGCTGTGCTTATCTCCGGATTGTTAACCCAGCACAAGCTAAGCAATCTGGAGTAGGTTGGGATTATGGATTTTATTCAATCCTCCTTTTGCAGCTGCTGGACTTATTTGATAGTGAAGATCCCAGAGAACGAGACTTTCTGAAGACAATTTTGCATAGGATTTATGGGAAGTTTTTGGGACTCCGAGCATATATAAGGAGGCAAATAAACAACATATTTTATAGGTAAGTAGTAGTAGTTATAGATAATCATTTACTTACTAAGTAGTTGAAACATCTATCTTGAATGAGGAGGTGAGTTGAATTAGCTCCATAAATTAAATGAGAAGGTAAAAACCTGTTGAATAAGCTGATGTTGGGTAAGAATAAGCAAGCTGAAATTCCCATAAAACCCTTTGCCATTGGTTATTCTGGCTGTACCTCGGAGATGAAGGGACAAGTTACTTATGCTTAGAGAAATGTGGCCATATAAAATTTTTAAAATGGGATTTAAAAAAAACTACTGATAGCAGCCAGGAATGGCATAGTCTAATTTGTGGGAATTGGTTTGGGCAGAGTAATTTTGAATTGGATTCAGAATCATATACCAAATAAATCTTTCAACTTGAGGTAACATTCGCCTTTATTGTCTATTTATATACTGCCTTTCTGTTCACAAGAAAGCCTGTCATCCTTATGTGAGATTTCTACCGACCTTCAATCATCAACTTTCAGTTATATGCATAAGGGAGCTCTTGAAACATCTTATGGGATCATATGATAGGCCTCAGACTGAAAGGTATTAACTGTTTTTTGCCCTAGAGTTGTTCACCTATGTTCCTATAAGGTCTTTTGTCAGAGCAGAAAAGTGAAAAAAGTGTCACTTACTGTATGAAGCATCATCTTCTTAGAAAAATCTCTAAATAAGAGCTTCAAATGAAAATCTTCAAATAGTTGGGCAGAACTTGACAGAAGAGTGAAGAGCAGAGCTAGATTCTTATTAGAGTTCAGCTTTTCAAAATTCAGTGCATTTTCCATCACTCCACCTGGTTCTTTTTGCCCCTTCTAACATACCGTCGCTGGGTCTTCTAGTCTTAATTCCTTGTTTAAACATAAACACATCCTTATATATCTCTGCTTTGGAAACAGAAGGGTGTCAGCAGATGTGTTTATGTAATTTGGGTTTTCTGCACTAGAAAATGAGAATTGTATCACCTATCTCCCTGAAACCTGTTTCTTAATAGCCTAACACATGTCTTCTCTATATTTCAGGTTTATTTATGAGACAGAGCATCACAATGGGATTGCAGAATTGCTAGAGATTTTAGGAAGGTAAGATAATGCTGCATTACTCTATTTTTTAAATCAGTAGTTTTTATGTAATTTTATGATTGCTGCCAGGCAGTTAGGTGAGATTCCATTTGACATGTTGCAAAAGTTCCTCCCTCCCGCACACCATGAATAATGCCATGGAGTTCTTGGGAAATTGTGTTTATGTAATTTGTGTAGATGTGTTCTATAGGATATCCTGATGATGAGGCAACAGCATGGGGTGGAGTTGGGAACAGTTGTTTATACATGTGTATACACAGATACATACAAGTCCTTGATATTCATGATTCTTTCCTTTCTCAGTATAATCAATGGATTTGCTTTGCCCTTGAAAGAAGAGCACAAAATGTTCCTTATCCGGGTCTTGTTACCATTACACAAAGTGAAATCTTTGAGTGTCTATCACCCTCAGGTAAGACATTCATTCTGATAATAGGCAGTACATTCTGTAAGTGCTCTGAAATGACAGGTAGATTTGGTCCTGTTTGCCTGTCTTTAAATTTTAGAAGCATTGCTTCTAAACTTTCTGGACTTTCTATAGGGAAGCAGTTTGCAACTCTGTCCAGAACTCCTGCTTTTGTTTTTCCAGTACACTTCCTCAGGTTCTCCAGTTGGCTTGTCAACTCCTAATATTATTTCAGCTAATGTGATTATATTAGAACTGTAACATGATACCTCAACAGATTAAACCAAAGGCCTATCTAATGGGCTATCTTGCTTCCCATTAGAAAAAGATATGCATTTGTTCTAAAGATGCCATATAAACTTGATAACTGGTAATTTTTTTTTTATCTTTGCGCTTTATGGAATTTTTTTTTAAAGAGATGTAAATCAATGTCAGTTACTCTGATGCTGGATTCTGTTCTTTGGGTCCAGATCTAATCTTTAATAAACACAAAAACTATCTAAAAAAATAACCATGATCCAGTGATATCTCCCCTGAAGGTGGAAGGCAGTGATTTTCTTTGAACCTTTAATATTAGTTACTTCTTGGTTGTTCTAAAGGGTCCTCAAACATTCTGAGACAACTTTTTATTGGCGATGGCGGAGATTGATCTACATCAGATCTGGGATCTATTAATCATATACATTGTATACAAACAATGTATGTGATTAATAGATCCCAGATAATTAGATGGTTAACAGTCAATCTCAATAATGATTAATACAAAGCCAATCATAGGAGAGAATTTTTTTAAAAAAGTTTTATTTGTTGAATGAGGAGAACTTCAACAAATTCTTCCTGGCCAAGTTCTTATTGTATGATCTCTGTTTTATTTTGGATTACCCCGTCTTAACAGAGAAGCAAGACCAGATTCTTTATGGCTGGAACCACATCCAGAACTTTATTGCTGAGAATACTATGACAGTATAGTTTAATTTAACAATTTAAAGGCTGTGCAATTCCACAAGATTCTGGGCAGTTTACAACTGTAAAACAAAAAACCAGTAATAAGAGAACGTAGATCATAGACATCAGGGGAAAGACATTACAGATAAAATTTATAAGAGGTCAACATTTATCCATCTCGGGGCCTGGGAGAACAATGTGGTTTTCAGCAATTTCCTGAATACCATCAGGATGGAGTAATATAGGTCTCTGGGGGTTTGCTGTTCTAGCAAGTAGGTGCCGTAATGCACATTTGAAGTCCTACTAGATGTCGTTGTTTAATCAAAGGGATCTGGAGGATGTCCACTGTATCTGATCTTACAGAACAGGTGGAAACTGTTGGAGATATGTAATTGTTTAAATGACTGGGCCCTATGCTATGAAGGGTTTTTACAGCTGAAACCAAATGGCAATCAGCACAGCTTCAGGAACAGTGACATCCTATACGGTCCTTGTTGGCAGAATTTAGACCATCTGTAGCTTCCAAGTGAACTTTAAAGGCAGCCCAACTTAGAGTGCATTGCAATAATCCATTCATGACTAGGGCATGTGTGATCCTTTGGAGGGCCTTGTGAGCCAACAATGAATGCAACTGGCGACACTATATGATTTTGCCAGAAACCTCTTTAGGAATAGGTTAGGATGGTTACCTATTCTTCAAGCAGAAGCTACAAGGGCAAGAAGACTCCCAGATTGTTCCCCAGTCTTAAATGGGTAATTGCTACCCCCTCCAAGACTAGAGATGGAAAGTCTCCCAGATCAGGAACCCAAATATTCATAATCATTTGGTCCTGTTAGGATTAAGCTTGTATTTGTACTTCCACAGCCAGACTTGCATAGCATCTAAAGAGTGGAATAGGACATCCACAGCAACACCTGGGCAGCCTGGAATGTACAATTGAATATTTCTGGACCAATGGGATTTTGTCCAGGATTGTTGGGTCCAAAGACAATGTCTTGAGCACACTACCATTCCTTTTAAGACTGCAGGAACCACTCCCTTTCCTCAAAAAGGCTGACACCATCATGTGGAACCAAAACCACATGGCATTTCCCAGACAATTTAACAATCCAGGAAATATACAGATCTAATAAACAGGTGGCTGAGCTTACCGTTTGCAGGACTCTTCGAAGTTGCAGTCTCATATTCAGGTACCATATCTCAAACTGGTCTTACCCAATCAGAATCAAACTCTTGAGTGGATCACAGTAACTTTATCTACCATATGGGTAGAATATTTTTTACAGTGACTTGGTAGATTTTCCGGTGATTCGGCCTTCCCTGGCAAAGATTGAGTTGCCTTGAATTGGGCAAATGCAAGAAGGGCAAAGAAATATGTTTTACTGGCCTTATTGCCATAATGTAATCCTGAATATAGGCTCTTGATCAGATTTATTCTTTGTCTTCTGCCAGTAGAACTCCAGGCATTTTTTTGAATGTTTGGAGCTTCTCAGAAAAATAAGGGCATTATAGAATCAGCTTACAGGGAGAGACTGCAACAAAGCAATGCAGTCCAAGGCCTCCATCACCAGCCTGTTCAAGACTGTGCCCTAAAGGCTTAGCCAAACTTCCTATCAAGTCCTCTGGGAAAACCCCAAGTTCCCTATGGAACCCAAGAAGATCTATTAAGTTGCCAGAGATGGGCAGCCTAATTGACCCTGTCTGATTAAACTCTTTTCTGGTAAACTGCAATATGTATGTTCCTAAAGTATTATGTCCTTTTTCTCCTCCAAACCCATCCACCCACCATATCATCCTTTTGAATACTGGCCACCTCATTAGCCAAACATTTAATTAGTTCTCAGATTAAATGCCAAAATGATTCTTAGTACAAAACCGTCAATTCTCCAATTGCTTATCCATCTGGCTATAAATGCAGGCCTTCTCAAAAAAACAGTCAGTGGCTGGATAACTAACCCAGAGAATCCTCAACTGTTTCTGAGCCAGTAAACAGAGAGGCTTTTACCTTAAGGACAAACAGGCTGTAATCCAGGTGGTTCGGAAGAAGGAGCAGAAGTAAAAATAGAGAAATTTCTCTCAGCTGCTTCGCTGGTGTTTTCCATTGCACCACCTCCTTTCTTCTGCTGGATGTTTTATGCAGAAAAGATAAATGTATCTAGAATTGGGGTGGAGGTCAGGGGTGGGTTCTACTTACCTTTACTACCGGTTTGCAACGGGGCTGGGCATGTGCGCTTGCTTCGCTCGCATGCGCTTCTGCACAGAAGCTTCCTGATGACGCCAGGGCCAGTGGGTGGAGCCTCCCGCCGGTTTTACTACCAGTTCTATAGAATCGGTCCAAACCGGGAGCAACCCACCACTGGTGGAGGTTCATTCTCTGAGCTTGTGGGTATATAGAATTGCAGCCTTAGTGGGCTAGGAGACATAGGATTGCTAGGGACAGAATTAATTTGCAGTTTAATACAAAAAATTGTAAATACCATATATTTACATCCCAACACTTACAGGTTGTCTCTGGCCAGTCATTTTCATAATACTTGAATACTGTGTTCTTTCTGCAGTTGGCATATTGTGTTGTGCAGTTCTTGGAAAAAGACAGCAGTCTGACTGAACCGGTAAGCTTTTCTTTGTGAGGCTGAGTTGGTTGTAATATTACTCTTAGTAGATTTTCATGGATATTCAGGAAAATACAATTCAGAACAGTTTATATAAATTAATGTTAAAAAGTTTTTATTTTCAGTTAATGAATAATAGAATGGAATACTTTGGAAACGGGCATGATGGCGCTATCTACTTTTATTGTCTCTCAGTTCCATTCTAAACCCAACTCGAACTGCTGGTGGAGGTTTTTAAGCCTAAGCAGTTTAGGTCAAAGGTTATTAAAGATCTCCTTTGCTCTTTCCTAACTTGGACGAACTATTGTTATCTACTTAGGGGTATCTTGCTTCATGTCTCATCTATGCAAAACTGATTGATAACTTGTGTAAAGTCTTTTCCACTATGAAGCTTTGCTTCTTGAAGCCACTCTCTTGAGAGATTTGTCTGTTTTTCAAAAGTTTTATGAAAACAATTTCTTTGAAACAAGTATTTGATGTATAATCTTTCCTGTATTGTTTGGCTTAACGGTTCCACACTTGCTGTTTTGGTAGGGTGTTCTTTAATTTTTGCTAATCTTTAATCATTTGATGTCACTGTTTTTAATGTGTTGCTTTTTAGGAATTCTAAGTGTATGTGATAAAAAAAAGTGTACGTTTTGTACATAGTTAAATTAGTTCTTTGACAATCAGGTAAAAATTATCATTTCCAAAATTATCTAATTGACTAACAAATACATGCACAATTTCATTCCATTTCTGAAGAAGAATAAGAGAAAGCATAAATAACATTTATGCTATTTTGCGTCCCCAATAGAGGGTTGTTCAACCTTAGCTTGTACATTCCCAGCAAAGAAGAGCTCACTGTTTCTATCATGCTATCTCCAAAGTAATCATTTTATGCAAGCACTTCAATATATACTAAAAATTATATATGGCCACTGACCTAAACTATTTTAAAAAGACAATCATTCCTCAGAATCAAAATAGTCATCAAGGAAAAAAAGAAATCATGCCCTGAATTCTTAGGTTAAATATATATTATTTAATTAAAAATCATCTCCATAATTTAACCTGCTAAAGCAAGTTGGCTAAGCCGCTGTTAAATTAATTACCGATGTTAGTATTAAACAACACAGAATCAGGATTCCATTTTTTGCATTTACATGAAACCGCTTTACTTTGCTGTAAAATACTCCATTCTGATTTTTGTTCTGATAGCATGAAGTATAGTATGGAATCTTGGAAATTATTATAGCAATTATTATAGCACCTCTCTTTTCTTAGAGCTTTGTTAAGTCAGCATCTCTTTGAACATTTTCTTCCATGCTTTTTGCAAACTGAACTGAGTTGTTATTTATGCGCTAAACTGTTACACAACATCTCTTCTATCTGTAGTTTGCTTATGTCTAGCTATATGTCATGTTTCTTTTTCCTCACAATCTCACATCCCATTTGTTTGAGTTTTTTTCATGATTTGTTTTTTTGTAGACCATATTTCAAAGCATATGGACTATGTTATCTTAAATGTATAAAATTGGCAAGGATAGGACTGGAAAGGGAAGAAAGGATGCTGTTTATGTTTGCTGTTACTTCTTGCATCAAGGAGTAGTTTGGTATTATACCAAAGTGCACACAAAAAAATGGGATTAATCGTAATAAATCGTATTCTTCATCAAGAAAATTATATCTGTGCTAATTTTGCAAAGAAAATACACATTTTTTTCCAATCATTTTGTTTTTTTAAAATAATTATTCTTCCAGAGATTCGCAATATTAGTAGGACTAATATTTGAGGAAGGTAGAATATACTAAGATAGGAAGAAATTTGGAATCTTTTCATGAAATAATAGACATAAGTTTTGGATTTATGACCACAACTGAGCCCAAAATTTCCAATGCTAAGTAAAACAGTTGTTAAAATCAGTTGTGCCCCATTTTGTGACTTTTTTTGCCACAGTTGTTAAGTGAATCACTGCCCGTGTTAATGCAGTCATTAAGTGAATCTAGCTTCCCCTATTGACTTTGCCTGTCAGAAGCCTGCTGGGAAGGTTACACATGGCACTCACATGATCCCAGAACAGTGGAACTGTCATACATACATACCAGTTGCCAGGTGCCTGAAGTTTAATTACGTGACTAAGGCAGGGGTGAAATCTAAAATTTATTACTACCGGTTCTGTGGGCATGGCTTGGTGGCGGTGGGTGGGTAATGTGATGGTGGGTGTGGCCATTTTTTTTTAAAAAAATTTAAAACCATTTTTTCTACAACCTATTCGGCGAAGAGGTTGTAAAAAAAATGCTTTCAAAAGGCTCTGACGATCCCAGGGTTTTTTCTTTTAAATGCCTCTGACGATCAGGCAACTCAGCTTGGATCAGGCAACTCAGCTTGGATCGTCAGAGGCATTTAAAAGAAAAAAAGGGTTTTTTTCTTTTAAAAGCCTTTGATGATCCCAGCTGAGCCGCGTGATCATCAGAGGCTTTTTTTTTTTTACTTTTAAAAGCATTTTTTCAGTCAAAGAGGTTGTAGAAAAAATGCTTTTAAAAGTGAAAAAAAAAGCCTCTGATGATTGTGCGGCTCAGCTGGGCATGGGGAGGGCAGGGATTTTTGCTACTGGTTCTCCGAACTACCCACCTCCATCGCTACCGGATCAGGTGATCTGGTCCGAACCGGGTGATCCGGTCCGAACCGGGAGCATTTCACCCTTGGACTAAGGGAATGCTGCAACTGTTGTAAGTGTGAAAAACCAGTCATGTCATTTTTTCAGTGCTGTTGTAACTTTGAACAGTCACTAAATAAATGGTTATAAGGTGAGGACTACTTGTTCAACTGTAGACAGCAATGTAATAAAACATATCTTGCTGCAAATAATAGAAAATGATATATGAACACAGTGTGACATTATAAAAGCTGCTGTCTTCAATCCCCACTCGATTTTCAAATGGAGGTTATAATTTGGTGACCTGGGAGATTGCTCTAAAAGTTTAAGGTGACAATTAAAATGTTAAAAACCCAACATAAATGGCTACTATTATTACAGTATTATGATTGATCACACAGTCAGTCAGTCAGTCAGATCAAGTCCTCCCCAGGAATCTGGGAAATGAAGATGTTATTATTATTTAGATTTTTATCCTACCTTTTGTATCTATCTGTTTTGTCTGTCTCAAAAGAGTTAATATGCTCACTATTCCTGCCTCCTATAGACAATTCTGTGAGATGGGCTGAGTTATTATTATTATTTATTAATAAGTTGAGTTCTCCAATTGGATTTCATGCTTAAGACAGGCCTAGAACTCATGATCTCCTTTTTTTGTAGGCCAGCACCTTAGCTATTACACTAAACTGGTTCTGAATGGCAATTCATATTAATAGCCTTTAAAATAACATGGGGAATAAAGAAGTTAAAAATCCTATTCTGACAGGAGTCAGCTATGTTCTATAAATACTGTATATGTTTATGTTTATTATATGTTTATGTTTATTATATTTGTATACCGCCCTTCTCCTGAAGGACTCGGGGCGGTGAACAGCCAGCAGATAAAATACAAAAAATACAAAATTTAAAACAATATTTGTTAAGGATATTGTTGTGTTACCAACCATCAGAGTAAGTGCACAGAGAAACGGTACTGAGAGCAATGAATACAATACATACAAACTGGTTTAACAAAACTTTTACTTTGTAGTGAAAAACAGTTGCATAGTCTTTTTAATCAATCCAAGTCTTTAGCCATTCAAATCAATCCGAAGTTACAGATATTTTCTTACCAGACAAACAGCAGTTGGTAATAAACAGCAATTCAACGCTGGTAACAAATCACGATGGTAGCAGATCCATCCACGTCTTCACACACGACAGTAACAGTTCCAATCAACAGTTCTAGTCAAGCAGCAAGTCAAGCAATGATGAGAGCAGGTCCAACAATGACTATAGCTCGGCTCTCTCCTTATATACAGTTTACACTAGTAATTATCCACTTAAGATAAGTGAAGTCAGCAGTGCAATGACTCAACAGTACAATTATGATAATTGCAGTCAGCAATTAGTCAGCAGTCATTAGTCATTACAATGACTCAGCAGTACAATTACTCAGCATTACATCTTAGAGTTACAGAATACATTTAAAGTTATAGAACACATATATTGCCTGGACAACTTGTTAGGTTTACACCATATCCTAACAATATTAAAATCCAATTAAATTAATTTGGCCCACAGTTAAAAACACCCCTATATTAAAACCCATAATTTAACAATTTAAAATTAAAACAATTTTAAAAAGTTAGGTCAGGTCAGCCCGGCTTGATGAAACAGAAACGTCTTTAGGGCACGGCGGAAAGTGCACAGATCCGGGATTCGCCGTATCTCCGGGGGCAGCTCGTTCCAAAGGGTAGGTGCCTCCACAGAGAAGGCTCTCCCCCTGGGGGCCACCAGCCGGCACTGTTTGGCCGACGGCACCCTGAGGAGCCCATCTCTGTGGGAGGCTACTGGCGGCAGAAGGCGGTCTCGTAAATACCTGGTTCCTAAGCCATGGAGCGCTCTAAAGGGGGTAAGCAATACCTTGAAGCGCACCCGGAAGACCACTGGGAGCCAGTGCAGCTCGCGCAGGAGAGGTGTTACATGGGAGTGTCGAGTCGCCCCCATAACCACCTGCGCGGCCGCATTCTGGACCAGTTGGAGCCTCCAGGTGCTCCTCAAGGGGAGCCCCATATAGAGAGCATTACAGTAGTCCAAGCGGGACGTGACGAGGGCATGAGTGACCGTGCGTAAGGCATCCCGATCCAGAAAGGGACGCAACTGGTGGATCAGGCGAACCTGATAAAAAAAACCCCTGGCCACAGCCATCATATGCTCTTCCAAAGACAGCCATGTATCTAGGAGGACACCCAAGTTGCGAGTCCTCTCTGTGGGGGCCAGCGACTTGCCCCCAAAAGTCAGTCATGGTACCAACTGACTATATCGAGATGCCGGAAGCCACAGCCACTCGGTCTTGGACGGGTTGAGCTTGAGCCTGTTTCTCCCCATCCAGATCCGCATGGCCTCCAGGCACCGGGACATCACATCAAGGGCATCGTTGGGGTGGTCCGGGGTGGAAATGTACAGCTGAGTATCATCAGCGTACAGATGACACTTCACCCTGAAACTACGGATGATCTCACCCAGTGGCTTCACATAAATGTTGAACAAAAGAGGCGAGAGAACCGACCCTTGCGGCACCCCACACACAACATATATTATGTTTCATGCTACACGGGATATGTAAAAATGTTGTAAAGTTTTCTTCAAAATTAAAGGCTTCTAGATTACAAAATCAGTTGTATATGATATATTCAATATGCTTGCTTTTTTTTTCCAGGTGATAGTGGGGTTGCTAAAATTTTGGCCGAAAACACACAGCCCCAAGGAAGTAATGTTTCTGAATGAGCTAGAAGAAATATTGGATGTCATTGAGCCTTCTGAGTTTGTGAAAGTTATGGAACCTCTGTTCAGACAGTTGGCCAAATGTGTCTCTAGTCCACACTTTCAGGTGAGTTAAAAGCTAGGAGAGATGACAGCAGATTTTAGTATTGGTACTTGGGCAGTAGATATTTTTGATTTTTCCTAGGACATTGGCAAATAACAAAAAACATATGACTGCTATATACTTAACTGGTATTACAAAAAGCATTTCTTTTCAGAGAAATAAAACCGTTTGTTAAAAGAATGGAATTTCAGTTATAAGCCAAGCTAACAAAGACCCATAGAAATAGGCTGAATTTTAATTTTGATAAGCATCTACTAGCTGTTCATCTAATTCAGATGCCCACCTTACGATGGGCAACATTAAGAATTTTAAGAATGCCCCCTTTTTTCTATTTTTAACTATGTCTCATTTTCATTATTTATACAGGTGGCAGAAAGGGCATTGTATTATTGGAATAATGAATATATCATGAGTTTGATCAGTGACAATGCAGCCAAAATTCTCCCTATCATGTTTCCAGCACTCTACAAAAATTCCAAAAGTCATTGGAACAAGTAGGTATTTCAGTGAGGCTTGGGACGAGTGAAATTTCAAATTAGGGATCTTCAGCTTGCTTTTCTGTCAAGAATTATTGATGATAGGGCAATAATATTGCTATATTTAGTTTAGGCTCCTACATTTTCATCATGGGAGGAAAAGGAGAAGAGAATGGAATAATTGGAAATATGCAAGTTAAATTCCCAAAAGAGAAATGAATATGTTGCCTATGCCCTATTTGCCTAACTTCATCTTTTTTGGGCGGGGTGGAGTGGGTTTAATAAAATATGAGTTTCATGCATGCACACTAGCTTTGGAGGTAATTTTTTTTTTCATTCAGTACTGAGAATTGTAAATGATTGTTTTTGGATGTTTTGGAATGCCTGTTTGACAAATAAATGTGTAAGCATATGTGCTAGGAATTTAGAGTGTGGAACATCCTGTTTTCCTCAGGGTGTGTTTTAATCTCTGCCAAAGTGTGTTGGAGACATTTTAAATAATTAACATAATTTCTGTTTTCTGCAGGACAATCCATGGGTTGATCTACAATGCGCTGAAGCTGTTTATGGAGATGAACCAAAAGCTATTTGATGATTGCACACAACAGTACAAGGCAGAGAAGCAGAAGTAAGTGTTTTCGTTGAGAAGTAAATTGATAGTAACTAATCTATGAGTGCTGAGATTCTCCTCCTTGAGATAGCAGTTAATAACCAGAATGAAAAATCTGCAGTGATCTGCTTAAAACTCTCTGCAAATAAGACATGCCACTTATTCATATGGAACAGGAAAAAAGATGGGCTGGAACAAAAAACAGATCAAGAAGCCGATAATTGAAATACCTGATACATTTAATCGGTTATAAAAAGTTATGTGAACATGGGTTGTTTGGAAGTAAAAGAAGCTCCTAAAAAGTTTTTAAAACACAAATACCGTATATTTCGGAGTATAAGATGCACTAGAGTATAAGACGCACCTACCTTTTTTGGTGAGGAAAAGAAGAAAAAGAAATCTCCCTCTGCCTCTGAGCAGTTTTGCCTCGTTGCAGCAAACAGCAAATAGCCTGCTTTACTTTCATTTTCGTTTTCAGCCTAGCTTGATTAGCACAAGGAAAAAAAATCTGCGTCAGCAATTTACTTCTTTGCAACAAGCAGCAGAGCCCTGTGCAAAACAGCTGAGAGCAAATCAGCTGAGAGTCGGGAGGCCGATCCAATCAACTTGTGCTAATTAGATTGTGCTGAAGCTGAAAAGAGCTGTTTTTTCTTGCTGTTTGCTTGCCAGGAGGTAACTGCTGTGAGGTGGAGGCCAAAGGGTGGGGGCCAGTGGATGGGCGGGGCTACATTCAGTGTATAAGATGCACCTAAATTAAAACCATAATAATAAATATCATTAAAAATTCAAAATATAGCTGAAGGGAGAATGAAAATGGAGCCGTCTAGACAAGTCTCTGGTTCTGTGGAAACTCCAGGCCTGGTCACATGATCAGGTCTTAAGGGTCTTTCAGAATATCAAAAGGGATGGTTTTAGTCTAATTTCAGGGGGAAGGATGTTCCATAAACTGAGCACCATGGCCAAAAAGGCCCATTTTTCTGGGACCCACCAAATATAGGTTCCTAGCTAATGGTATGCACAGCATTCTTCTCTTTGAGATCTAATAGGACAGGCTGAAGGCTGAAATAATTGGGGAGAGGCAGTCCCTCAGATAGCTCCATCCCATGCTGTGAAGGGCTTTAAAAGTTAAAACCAACATCTTGAATTGGACCTGGAAGCAAACTGGCAACCAATGCAACTTGTATAGCAGAGTTGTAACATGTGCTGCTCTAGGAGCACACATAATTGCCCATGCGGCTGGATTCTGTACCAGCTGAAACTTCCAGATACTCTTCAAGGGCAGCTCCATATGGAGTAGTCCAATCTGGAGGTGACTAGGGCATGAATGACTTAAGCAAGGCCTCTTGATCCAGGAACAGGCATAACTGATGTTTTCCTATCTGATAGTACCGTGAATTATTTGGATGATTTACAGCATGTTCTACTTCTTAGCCTCAAACAATCTCCATATACCTGTTTCCCTTGAAACCTTTGAAAAGGTATCAGATAGCAATTTTGCAGTTGCAAAAATAGCGTATGTTTTTAAAAAAAGAAATAGAATCCTGAGGCACCCCATGAATCAGAGCCCACATCCACACATGTGCTCAAAGAAACCTAGAAGTAGGTCTTTAAACATTCAGAAATTATTAATATTTTATAATGTGATATATAGTGAAAATTATAAGTTATATGACGAGCCCAATCATATTTACTATATTTAATTTCATTTTAAAGGTAACTGAAAATTAAGTAAAACCTAGTTTTACTTTTTCCTCTGTGTAGCAGGAAAGAGCATGTCCTACCACGTCATTCAAAGTTCAAGTAAAGCCTTTGATTAAATAAAAAGTTGTGTACTTCTGCCATAGGCAGAAGATCATGAAAATAGAATATTTTCCAGCATTGCTTTTATGACTATTTCTCCAGAAAGGACAGAAAACCTGTTTTTTCAGCTGAGCCTGTTTGATAGTACAGAAGACATTATGGATAGTATGGAAAGCAGAGAGAATAACCTATAGGATTATAATCCATCTCAGTGAGCAATTAAGGAGAACAAACAAAGAATTAAGGAATTTGGTGTGGGAGTTCAGTTTAGGGAAAAAGCAGGAAGAGCTAAATAGAGTATTGATAATTGCTCACACTTTAAAGAATAAAGAAATTGTATTCAATAAAGAAATTCTATTCTATTCTATTCTATTCTATTCTATTCTATTCTATTCTATTCTATTCTTTTCGTTTTCGTTTTCGTTTTCGTTTTCGTTTTCGTTTTCGTTTCTGTTTTGTCCCGTCCCGTCCCGTCCCGTCCCGTCCCATTCTATTCTATTCTATTCTATTCTATTCTATTCTATTCTATTCTATTCTCATTACTCAAACTAACTGAGGCAATTTCAGGGAACATACAAAAAAAGCCAGTTTCCAGAGAGTGAACTTTATTTGATCAGGCAAATAGGAATTTGGTGGGAAAAGCATCCAAAAAACCACCATGGTAATCTGGTAACTAGCAACTGTGGGCATTTTATGGATCATGGTGCAGAAAATTCTACAAAGCTAGACTTTTTTCCCCTTTTGTTTATCTGAGGAATATGGGAGATGGAGATAACTATGTTCTGCAGGGACTGTGCTTTATTTGTTGCACATGCGTGCAGACTTGTTGCTTTTGTGTAAGAGAAAGTGAACAGTCTAGAGGTGAACCCATTCAGGAAAGAGGAAAAAATATTGGATTAAACAAAATAAGTGTTTGCAAGAGGATAGAGAGATGGGCGAATGTAACTCAAGGAAACCAAGTTTATTTAGAAAAAAACTTTTTTTCCTTTGGAATTTCGGAGTAGATTCCACAGTCTCTCTGTTGTTGTAGTTTCAGGACCATGAATGAAGAGCAGCTGCCACAAGCCTCAAAGACAGCAAAAGGACTTTATAGGCTCTTCAAAGGGAAGGATTCCTGTCTCTGCCTTGAAGTAGTGGGGAGGGAGAGGAGGAGGAGGACTAGTGACTCCTTGCTAAGAAGGACCAAAGCAGTAGTCCAGTTGTCTGTCAAGAGACATGTACCTCCCTGGGGTTCATATTTAGCATGGTATGGAAAGACTTCCAAGGTCCCTTTTGTGGGAAAAATGACACAGCCAGTTTCTGTGAACAAGCAGGAGAATGGAAGAACTAGGTCCACAGATGGGGTTTTCTTCACTTCTTCCTAGCAAAGGAAATGTGTCTGGAAGAAAGGCAAGAATTTTGGAAGCAGGATGTGCAGATGGTTTCAACAGGAATGGTTGGGATTCTTTGATCATAGGATAGATTTCTGTGATGAGATGGGCTATGCCTCATCAGAACTGGGAAGAACATGTTTGTAAGATGTCTTATAAACCTGATCCAAAAGTATTTAACCTGTTGGAATATGCTATAGTTCACCAAACCAGATGAAAGATGTGGATAGTATTTTCTTGAGCCATATTACTGAACTTTCAGGGAAGAGGTAATAACTGCTCAGATAAGTTAAAAAACCAACACAGCCAAAATTGTGATACCCCAATATTTCCTAGTTCAGAACCATGTTGTTGTTAGTTGCGAAGTCATGTCCGACCCATCGCAACCCCATGGACAACGTTCCTCCAGGCCTTCCTGTCCTCTACCATCCCCCTGAGTCCATTTAAGCTCACGCCGACTGCTTCAGTGACTCCATCCAGCCATCTCATTCTCTGTCGTCCCTTTCTTCTTTTGCCCTCAATCGTTCCCAGCATTAGGCTCTTCTCCAGTGAGTCTTCTTAGTTCAGAACTTAACCAATAGCAAAACCTGATTGAAAAGCTGAAAGCAGTGGGACCCCAAGCCCTCAGGAGGAAGTAATGAATCATCTTAATTTCAAAATGCTGTGAAAAGGAAAAAGGGAACATTGGGCAGTTTTATTAATCTTGGACAATTATTAGGCAGGCAAAAGGAATGTTTGGGATGTCTCAAAAAGAAAATATTAAAATATAGCTGTGTGCTACTACACTGAGACAAAACAAGTTGATGTATAGGAAGCTTTTGATTGAACCAAAAGTTAAGAAGGACAGGTTTAGGAAATAAAATATAGATATAAGGATGAAGGTATGTGAGAATGGCCTTGGAAAAGCCACAGCCAGAGGGACAGTTGGATAAGAGGCAGCTCAACTCGCAGAAGGAATGTGGGCGTGAAGGTTCCCCTTCTAGTTTCTTGGGCTGTCAAGGCAACAGGGAAGAAACTTGCAAGATTCTGTTTCTGTAACCTTACAATAAAATAGAATTAGTTCATCTGGGTGTGCTTCCCATCTGGACTACCTTGCAAGACTGGCAGAGGACCAAGGGCGGCATATAAATCGAACCAATAAATAAATAAATAATAAAATAAATACAAATAAATACAAATAAATACAAATAAATAAGAAAGCACACCAGCAAGTAGCTAATGTCTATAGAAAAGCTAAAACTAAAAAGGAACTTCGATTTGCAAATTGCAAGTAACAACGTAACTATTTTGGCTACCTTAGTAGAAAAAGGAAAGGGTGGGCCCCCTGCTCTGATAAGATGGCAGGATGGTAACAAACTATGGGGAGAGGGCAGAGCTCCTCAATTCCTCCTTTGCTTTGGTCTTTTTCTCAAAGGGGAACTGTGTTCAAATGGACCTAAGCAGAACAGTTGACACAAGAAGGGAGTGGCAACCCAAGGTAAGTAGAGATAGTTAGGGAGCACCTGACTAACCTGAATGAATTTGTTTCCAGAGCTCAATTAATTCCACATGAACTCTTAAAGAGCTTGTGGATGTTCTCTTGGAAGTCCTTTTTGTGATGTTTGAGACATCATATAGAATGAGTACAGTGCCAAGGGACTGGAGAAGGGTAAAGAGGACATGAGTATTTGTTAACAATTAGCTTGTCATTGTTACCTGGCAAATTCTAAAATAGTTTATAGTTTGTAAGTATTTGGCAAAGACGGTATTGTTTTGCTGTAGCCACTACGGATTTACCAAGAATAAGCAATGCTAAACCAATCTGTTCTCCTTTTTTAAATAGTGTGACTAGTAGACCATAGGAATGAAGCAGACACAGTGTATCTTGGCTTCAGGGTCTTTCATGAATACCAGTGGAGGAATATAGCCAAATATGGACAGAACCATGGTGTTATTGTGTGGATACAAAAATGATTGAATAATCATACTCAATGTGGGGTCCTCTGGATCTCCGCACACTGGAAGAAAATATTGAGTGCCAAACTGAAGGGCTTTTTTCTAGGCTTTATATGATTCAGTATATTTATAAATGATTTGGATCAAATATGTGGATAACACATATAATGCTAAGCGGACAGCAAATACTTTATAGAGAACAATATCAGGATTCAATACTAATTGTTTTTTGTTGGTCAAAAGCCACATTTGGAATATTTCATTTAGTTGGGAATACCACATTTTAGGGAAGGACATTGATGCATTGAAACGTGACAAGAGCAAAACAGCCAAGATGATAATAAGGGGCTGCAAGGGAAAAAAAATTGTGAGAAAACAAGCTGCCCTCCAATATTTGAAGAGATACCATAGAGAGGTTGTTTAATATATCCTAGAAGTCAAGTCAAGAAACAGTGGTCTTAAGCTGCGATGAAGCAGATTTATTTTATTAAATTTCTATTCTGCCCATCTCTTCTGCAAGGTGACTCTGGGCGCCAGAACATTTCCTGATGTCACTGAAACATCAGGAAAATTCATTCATGGTAAGAGCTCTTCAGCAGTGAAATTGATGCCTTGTGAGGCAGTAGAGTTCATTGGAAGTACTAAACAAAAATTTGATGGCCATTTGTTGGAGATGGTATGGTAGTAGATACATTCACCAGAGATAGATTGGACTAGATCCGTAATGGCGAACCTATGGCACACGTGCCACAGGTGGCATGCATAGCCATAACAGTGGGCATGCCAGCTCAGCTCTGGCGCGCATGCACGCACCGGCCAGCTGATTTTCGGGCCTTCTGGGCCCACCAGAAGTAGGGAAACAGGCTGTTTCCTGCCTCTGGAGGGCCTGGAGGGGGTGGGGAAGGCCCGTTTTTCTTTCTCACCTGGCTCTGGATCCTCTCTATGCATCTGGAGAGGGTGGAAAGAGAGGCTCTGGAGGCTGGGGACAGCAAAAAACGTCACTTCCTGTCCAACCGAGAGTTGGGAAATGGGCCGTTGCAGGCCTCCGGAGGGCCTCCGAGGGGGTGGGGAAGGCTGTTTTTGCCCTCTCCAGATGCATAGAGAGGATCTGGAGCCAGATGAGAAAGAAAAACGGGCCTACCGGGCCATCATGTGCCAGGAGCAGGGGGAGAGGGGGATTGCGCACGCAGGGCGGAGCGCATAGAATTATGGGGCGCACGAATCCTCCCCCCCCAACACGCGATGGCAAAAAGGTTAGCCATCACTGGACTAGATGATTTCAAATATTACTTTGAACTTCTACATTTTAGGAATCTAATTTGTCAGTGTAAATCATATTGTAGTATTACCTTGATGATCTCCATATAAGAACAGGCTTGAAATTGTATGAAGTCAATCTGAATATTTCCTGCTTTCCAAGTCACCTAGCTTGTACCCAGGAGTGAAATGCTCCCAGTTTGGACCGGATTGCCCGATCCGGTAGCGATGGCGGCAGGTGGTTCGGAGAACCGGTAGCAAAAATCCCTCCCATACCCATGCCCAGCTGAGCTGCGCAATCATCAGAGGCTTTTTATTTTATTTTTAAAAGCATTTTTTCTACAACCTCTTTGGCCAAAAAAATGCTTTTAAAAGTAAAAAAAAAAAAGCCTCTGCCGATTAGGCAAGTCAGCTGGGATCGTCAGAGGCTTTTAAAAGCATTTTTTAACAACCTCTTTGGCCAAAGAGGTTGTGGAAAAAATGGTTTTAAAAGTTTTTTTAAAAAAAAGTTGGCCACGCCCACTCAGTCATATTACCCACCCATTCACCAAGCCACGCCCACAGAACCAGTAGTAACAAATTTTACATTTGACCACTGGTTGTACCCTATGGTGGCTTTGCTCGCATGGAAATCTTACATACATAAAATGTGCCAGTTTTCATTGCTGCTTCATATTCTGCATGTTTTGGCAGAGTTCCTCAACCCAAATAAGAGGAATAAGGAAAGAATGGGTTTTTCACTTTGCGTACTGGAAATGAATACCAGTATTATAATGTCACCAATAGGTAGAAAGCAAGCAATTCTGTGCAGCCCTTTTTCTGAGTGCTGAGAAATACTGAGAAGCATAAATTGCAAATCTGTAAATGTTTCTTGAGATTAAAAAATATAACGATCTTTAAAAACAGTTTAAAAGTTTATAATAATTATTGCAGTGTAAATTTTTAAAGCTAATTCTTACTTCTAAGTAAACATTTAAATTTCTGGATTTAGTAGCTTCATGGTCTTTGGCCTGCTCAGTTCCATAACACACTAAATCAAACTCACCATGTCACATTGCCGTCACGTGACATTTTGCAACATTTTTCCCATTTGTGGTGCTGCGGCCTGCCAAACTGGGCCGCCAGTTTGACATCCCCTGCCTAAATGGAGATTTATGATCTATGATGTTTTTTGAAATCTGGAATAAGACGTTCCTCCAAGAGGGTAACCCAAAGATGAGGAGAGATGGCGGTTATTAATGTCTCTTACCTCCTGAAGAATTGAGTTAATAGGATTGGGTGAAATGAGTGAACAGCTTTTTGGGGGGAAGGATGGGAATGATTGTGGTCACTCTGAAACCTGGGATGAAAGTAGAAAAGGTATTACTTTATGATATATGTGGGAACGATTTTACATTTTTCTAAACTATTTATAAGTGGGGGAGGGAAAAGGGAGGGAAAGAAGTATTTAAATTTGAATCTGTGTAGCATGGGATAGTCTAATGCTTTTCAGGCTTTGTATTTAGAATGGTGTAACATGATCTGACCTCTAGAGAAATGATAAACTACAAGTTTTAATACAAAAAATAAATTTCTTTCCATCTTCAGAGGGCGGTTCAGATTGAAGGAAAGAGAAGAGATGTGGCACAAGATTGAGGAGTTAGCTCGGCAGAATCCTCAGGTAATGATTATTATGATCAGATGGAAAGTTTTGAAATATCCACACTTTTTTTTATTTTTAGGCAATACTGCCAAACACTCTTAGGAATGCTGAACTAAAACCTGTGTTTAAATCTGACTGTGGCTTTAGTGTGTGGTGCAATAAATGTTACTATCAGCTTCTGTTTCCAATGTATAAAATTGAAGTGTAAAGATCAAATGCGGTCACATGCTTTATCTGATGGTATTTTGGAACTGATAAGCATGCATCTAAGCAGTTGCTAAAACAAACTAAACTAGTCTAGTTTTTCTGGGAGACCCAAGTACCTATCATAGTTCTGTTTATTGACTTAGTCTGGCACTAAATTAGGGTTTCATAAGTTTGGTAAATTATTACATCAAAGGAATCAATGTCAGAAACTGCCTTTGTAGTCCACCTAGCTGATTACTGTTTCTGCTAACAGCAGTATTTGTAAGATTTCTTAGATAGAGTTTCTAGGGACGAAATCTGAATTTCTACATACAGCATGTACTCGTCTCCAGAATACTGAGCTACTAAATAGCAATTATCATTGCTTGCTGAGTGCCTTAAAAGGAATTAAGTTTAATTGGTTTTGCAAGTTACTGCTTCTCCATGTTTGACTCTCACAGAACTGGAGCAATATATGGATAACACTTCTCCTGTCTATTACCTGAAAGACAAGAATAGCTAACTTTATTGGAAAACCTTATATATAGCTATGGAGTACCACATTTCAAATGAACCTGTTTAAAAAAATTTCATTCAACTTAATTTTAAGGGACATAAAATTGTTTAAAGGATAATGTTATAGTATTACTCCTATATCATTGTATTATTTTATATGAAATATAATACATCCCCAGTGTTAATTCTTGTAGGAATCCAGACTTTTTCATGCAGTGATTCCTTTAACTCAAAACCTCCTTGAATATTGAATGAAATTCTAGTTTTGAATAGGTAATAGCTGCATAAGAACAATTGTGTTGTTAGGTTTTAGTTAAGATTGGATCATGTCTTGATACTTTTCATTATTTTGTTTAATTGGGATTTCCACCAGTACATCAATCCACTTTATTGTAAGGGAATATCTGAATTAAGAATGAAAGTTTTCAGTAACTTTTATATCCCCAAATCTATTTCACAAAGGGATCATGAATTGTAATTGAAAACATTCACATTATATCCTTTTTTTCCTTTTGGGATCTGTGTATATGTGTAAACATTTGACGTTCTAGTACCTGAGTTGCTGAGCTTGCATTCCCATTTTTCTGTGTGCTGTGTTCCTGCAGTACCCCATGTATTGCGCACCCCCACCTTTGCCTCCTGTTTATTGCATGGAGACGGAGACCCCCACTGCAGAGGACATACAGCTACTGAAGAAAACGATGGAAACAGAGGCTGTACAGGTGACTTAATTATATAAACCAAGTTGATCCAGAGCCTATCTGTAGCGTGTAGTTCCTGGTAACTAGTTTCTCTTAAGCAAGCAAGCAAGCAAATTTTGACAGACCCTTACTTGGCTCAAAGGCAAGCTAGTCATAAATGATTGGCACATGGTTTCTCTATGGAAAGGCAGAATGGGTGGAAAATAATCCTTAATTCTCAAATAGTTTAGGAAACGTGTGCAAGGATTTGTCGGCTACCACAGCTTAAAATAGAGGGACAGTGGTTTTTAAAACATCATACTGGATGTATTTCTGATTACTGCAGGTTAATAAACTAACCCACTGTTTCTGAGTTCCAAAAACAAAACACCGTCACAAAACCTTTCCAGTTCATTCCTCTACCTGCATTCTTTTTAATGGTTTGTTTGTTTTACATGGCTTTTTGGAAACATATATAATTATTCTAGTAACTGTGAAATGAGCTAACAGTCGCTTGGATGCACTTAGGACTAAATAAGTACCTATGGGTAACTGGAACACTGACTACTTTGTAACTTAATTACCTTTTTCATAAAAGGACAAAATCAACAGTTCAAGAGGAGGCATAAAGGAATCAATCCCATAGCATTTGGGATGGTTAAGTTACAGCCTTTACATTTCAACAAAAGCATTTGTCCTTCCTTGTGATGCTGCTTGAATTATGTAGGTCCATGACACAACTCCAGTGTTCATACACTTCATGTCAGTCATTAGACTTGGCTTTGGAATGGGCACAGTTGGAATATCCACTGTATTTCATATGGCAGGAGAGTATAACTTTTTACTCCTCTGCTCCTACCTTCTGTACTTCCTCTGTTTCCTCTTAATTTTGCCTCTTGCTAGCATACTGTTAGCTATTTTTTTCCAGTCTGAATTTGAGACACCAAATTTGAAAGCTCTTTGAGTTTGTATACCTTCTCTGTCAGGAAATAGTTTTTAAAAATTGTGTGCCCACAGATTAAGTATAGTATACTTTATTGATTAGTAAATTGACCATATCAAAGCATGAACATCAACAACAGTAAGATACAATAAATAAGATATAATGAAATGCAATAATTACAGTGAGATAAAATAAACTATGCCCACAGTCTTCTGTTGGCACAGAAAGCAAACCGAAGTAGAGTTCAAAAATAGCAATCATAATAATATGAGTCAGAGGCGGAGTTCCCTTTGTTTCTTACGATATATGTTTTGGAGCCTCAATGGTCCTATTTTGTAAAAGATAAGTTAAAACAAACATACAATATGTGGTTGTATTTCAATTTCTGCACCAAGGTATACTGACTGGTATTTCTGCTTGCTTCTTAGTTTCCATGTTGCTGATTTGTAAACTAGAGTGTTGTCTAGATTGTTTCTTTCATGTTGAATTTCATTATCATTGTAGTGTGTGTATATTGATCTATAATCATTGACTCAGCTTACCTACTTCAATTATTAGCTTGCCGCACACTTTGTTAATACCTAATTCCTGACTGTGGTAATTCTGTTGTTATCTTGCTTCTGTGACATTGTGCCTGATTATTATTACTTGAAGGCTGATGCCTTAAAGGAAAATGAAATAGTTAAATATCTTAGTCAGTGATTTAATTGGTAGCCTTCCAAAAATTGCTAGAGCATAGTTTTCTATCATCTCTGATAACTGTTGCCAAGGCTGATAGGTTTTAAATCCAGCCTCATATGAAAAATCACAGACTGCCCTGTCCTGCTTGCTTAGCAATTTCTACATTGATTTTTATTGTAAGAATTGTAGAATTTAGTGGCATCATAGACTTAGTGGCATCTGTCTATGTCATCATCTGAAAACAGATTGGGTACAGTGAGCAAATAGGTATTCTATGGATTTGGGAGATGGCCCTAATTAAACCAAACTTGGCCATGATTTGGTAATCTATACATAATACCAAGTTAGCTCTTGGGAGAAATTTGCAGATCCTACAAACGACTTTTAATCTGCTATGTGTTTGTGTTTAGATGCTGAAAGATATAAAGAAGGAGAAGGTTTTGCTGCGTCGGAAATCAGAGCTTCCTCAGGATGTCTACACCATAAAGGCTTTGGAAGCACACAAGAGAGCAGAAGAATTTCTCACCTCAAGCCAGGAGGCACTCTGACGGGCTAGGGAGACCCTGGAGGGTACACAGAAATGCACTTTGTTCTAACGTATAGCTAGGGAATGAACATGGTGACCTGTGCCTGTCCTCCATCCATTCTCATTCTTTCAGGTTCAATTTGATTTTACATTGTACCTCATATCCCACCACACTTTCACTTATTCCTGCTTTAAATCTTTTAAGGCTGTGTTTTGTGTGCACGTGTGATGGGAGCCTAGGAACCTTTGAGAATATCATTCCATTGAAAGGAACATTCTAATTCCTAAATTTGTAAAACAAACAAACAAAAAAAAAAACCTGCAGTCCCAGGACCAGAGCATTCGGAATTTATCTGTTTATCAGTCATCCAGAGCCCTTGACTGATCTTCTTTCCACCTATCACACAACTGGGTGGTCTGCATAACGGAAATGTTATGTTCTATTGACTAAACAGGTCGTATAGGCCATTTTCTCTTGAGAATAATGTGATACATCCCTCCCATAAGACTTAGAATAAATAGCTAATCTGATGAAGATTGCAGCTGCGTTTGGTCATTATGAGTAAGGGCGATACTGTACATCCTCTCCTCCCTGAAATTGTGTTTCCACGCATAATAATGAAATTGCAGCCACGCATAATTCCAAATCCAGTGATTTAGATAATGCTTTCAATGAATTTCACCTTCCAAATAGAGGCTTGCAGTTGATCTATGTGCCTGGCAGCTATTGTGCAGCTGCTGCATGAATGTGTTACTTGAGTCTTGCTTTCTGTCTATCTTTGTTAGAACTGGAGGGAAAGTAGCTGTTAAGCACATTCTCTACTAACAATGCCAACTTTCCTTTCAGCTGTTGGGTTTTAAGCTCCGGCAAATCTTAAATAGACAGCTTTATGCATTTTGCATACTGAAAATCATAGGAAAAATTAAATAAAGAATGCAGGAAATTCCAATTTCCATTTACCAACTGATCTAGTCTTTCCCAATTAATTGCTCTCCCTGTTGCTAAATTTCTACTCTCAATAGTCTCTTATCTAGTATGGTTTTATTTTCAGTGTTTATGTGATTTCCAGCTGTTCTAGCCCCATTCGTCAGTTCAGGAAACCAAATATCAAGAAGTAGCAGAAATTCACCTTAGGGAATATATAATTTGGAGCCTTCAGATTTCTTTGAAGTAGGAGTAGCTAGAATATAAGAGTTGCATTTATTTAACAGCTTCTCATAGTTGAAAAGCTGCTGACTTCATTTGGATCATGGTAATCACAGAAGGGGAAGCCTTCACTATCCTTTGGTTAAATATCCTATGCTCTAGCTTTAGAAAAAGTGTTTCTAATGAGCGCCTTCCTCCCTTTAGAGTTTTATTCATTTATTGCTCATTTAGGGGGGCTCTTATTGGGAAACACTGGAATATCAGAAAATAATTTTGAATTGGACTGTGAGACTTTTTTCATGTTCTTGTTTAAATCTCCATGTGCTGTAATTTTGTCTTGTCTATTTACTTACACCATTCTGTTCCACTGTACCTTTAATGACTTGATTGAAGTTTATTTGTAGCATATTTCATTTCAATATTCACCGAATTTACCTCTTCAGAGATATCTTTTAACTCTTAAAAAACTGAAATTAAAAAAAGTGGACATTTGCCAATTTTCCATACTGATACTCAAGCCACAGGCTGGGTACCTATATCATGCTATTCTTTCTTTTAAACCATGAACTATTGAATAAATCACAGTGCCTGGGCTTACCCATCATGCAAGCCAAACAAATTTCAGTCTGATATATTCCTCTTTGGTATTTTTCTCTGTGGAATTCTTCATTTTTCCACCATTTTGTCCCCTTACTAACAGTCCATCAGCATTCCGTGATCATTAAGCATGCTCAAGCTTCACTGGCCTATTTCTGGAGTTCTCACAAGCTTTTTTCCCTCCTCCAGGACATTATTACTTTGGCAACCCTTATTTTGCGCATGATAGTATTTTAACTACATGAGGACAGGCACTTAGAATTGAAACTGACGTTAGAATATATGATGATGCTAACCTCCACTGTCTGCTGTCAAAATACTTTCAATATCTGTTGTTCAAGATGCTCTGTCTGGCTGTAGTTTCTCATACTAATAAGGACGTCTTTTAATCCTCTTGCAAGGTACCAGTTGAAGCATATGTGGAAGGAAGTTAAACAGGAATTTAAAATTGATTTGCAAGATGTCCCTTGGTTCAATGATAGAATCAAACAAAAATGAAGCTTCACTGAGTAGCTTGCACATTCAGCCACTGGTTTTTCAAAGTATGGTTTAGCTGTGGGAGGAACAAAGAAAACTTGGAGCTCCTTAACACCAACATGTGGTTGTCTGCTTATCTATTCCCCATCAAGGTTGGGCTCTGTAAATGACAAGGACCATAGGAAAGTATCCTTCATTATCCACATGTATGCTACACAGCACTTCTATACCTGTTACAGTTTTGCATAGGTGAAGCAGGGCTGTAAGTGAGCATCATATGCTGTACACTTAGATGTAAATATAGGCTTTGTCTAATCTTTCTTTGGGATCAGGGAACTTGTGTTTGGGACCTAATATTAAAATTTAGTTTGCTGCCAATTCATTTGAGTGTCCTATATATCTAACTATCAGAAAAGCTGTATGTAAAGAGGTAAAAAAAAAAATCACACTTCAAGCCAAATGAGCACCTCAGCTATACACAACTTCCAGTTATGCTCTACCTTAATCTAGCTCTACTTAAAACCCTTGCTTCTGTCCCTATTTCAGCTTTTACCTTCCCTTACTTTTACATGGATAGGGATGGAGCTGCCTCTTTTGTGTCTTATACAGCCCTTCCCAAGAGCAGGGAGAAAAGCAACTAAATGATGCATTCACTCCCTGGACACAAGTATTAAGCTGCTTTACAATTCATTATGTACATATGGTGTACTTTATTTTCAGTAGAGTATTACATAGTATGACAGTGTTGGATTTTGTACAGATGTCCCTGTATGTACAGAACTAAATAAAATGATCTCTTGAAAAGATGATACACTGGACTGCACCTCATAGCCACGTTTAGCTCTTTAGCCCATGTGTCACAATGGGTAGTGGGGAAGAGAAGAAAGGACAGACTAAACACATATCCAAAACACTTTTTTCTTCTCAAGATTAAGAAAACAGCCTCACGGTCACCACCACTAAGCATTTATAACTTAAGTACTATAGACAACTGGTAAATTATTTGCAGTTTTACCAAATGAATTGATAGGTTCAGTGCTGGAGAAAGGTGAGATAACTACCTAATCATTTTAGAGAAAGATAGTTTAAAGTAATTAACTCCAGTTTAGCTGCTGTTGTTTTTTTAGGCAAGCTCACTGGGGCTCTTCATTTCCATTCTGGTTTAAAGCCATTCTGACTTTGTCTGTCTTGCAGTGTTCGTTGCACCATATCCTGCCACTGCTCATCTGATATCTCATTGGCCCATGCAGGAATGCTCAGCGTAGGGAGCTTGACTCCAGCCATGGTCTTTTTCACTAATTCCACATGTTCTAGAATTTTAAAAAAAAGAAAAAGAAAAAGGCAAAGGATGAAAAATAATCTCCATCCTGGAGACTGTTCATGTAGTTTCAATCTAAATGGATAAAGGAGTAACTCACCCACACTGTCAAGCAAACAATTTTTAAATATATATATTTTACTATGTATCAAACATATATGGCTCAAAAACCACCCACCATCCTGAATGGAATGTTCTTTAGTTTAAAGTTCTATCATTCAACATAAATAAACTAGTATGAAGGGCTAGTGATCTTATAAAAGGAGAAGATCAAAATAGCTACATAACACAAATAACCAGCCTGTTACCATGTCTCCCTGAAGATAAGACCGGGCCTTAGTTTTTGCTCCAAAAGATGCATTAAAGCTTATTTTCAGGTGATGTCTTATTTTTTTAATGTACAACAGACATGTCAAACACAAAACCTGTGGGCCAGATGGGCCCATATCTGGCCCGTGGGGCTGCCTTGGAGATGGCGAGGGATTGGCCCCGCTCCCCCGGCCCAGCTGGGTGCCCCTCCACACATGCACAGGAGGCAGCGAGCATATGGGAACTGATGGTGTCTGGCGCACTCTTGAGCTGTGCAACCCATGCAGTGCAGGTGAGTCCGAACGCTCCAAGCAGCAGGCAGAGACACAGAAGGAAGGCACGTGATCCAGCCCACTGGACACTGCACAGCCGCCTGTCCATCCCACCATCTGACTGCCTGTGGCTGCGATGGGGCAGGCGGCCACACGATGCGCCTGACGGGCTGGATCTTGTGCCTCCTCCCCCGTGCCTCTGTCTGCTGCTGGTGCCACCGCTGTGAAGCAGGTGGCGAAATGGGGGGTAGTACCATGCTGGGATCCCTGCGTGGTCGACCCCCACCATCCAACCTTGTCCTCCAGCTCTGTCGCACACATGGGATGAGCCTCCCGCCCACTGCCCCACCTGTGACAGCCCTGGCAAATGAGAATGGCGGGGAGCCCACATCCCCAGGAGGCATCCGGGACTCCCCTCCCTGCTCCACCCCGGCCCCCACGGGTGCCCCCCAACATGAGTGATTTTGAGCTGGCTTCCATGCCGAGGGCAAACACAATGCTGACTATCTTAACTGGGGCTCATTGTTGGGGTAGGGCTTATATTACAAGCATCCTGAAAAATGCTAGAGCTTATTTTTCAGTTTGGTCTTATTTTCAGGGAAACACGATATTTACATGCTGTTCTGATAAATAATATTCGTTCTGCTAGTTACAATAATCAGGCAATTGCCAAAGAATAATTTGAACAGCTGGAGATGAAATGGCATAATAGTAGCATACAAGACTATTTGCTTATGTTAAACCTCATGACAGTTGGATTAGGATGACATACAAACCTATGCCTGACTAAAGGCAAGGAAAAGAAATCCTGCTAATGGTTATGGCTTCCATTAGGCCATTATGCCTGTAGTTTTATTTCCAAATCAAACAAATAATAATAGATGGCAAGCCACTACAAAAGTAGATGTGATAATATACACTGCAGAGTGGCTTCACATATATCAATAAGGCATAGTTTATTTTTATTACTGGACAACTACAATTAACTATATTAGCATACAATCTTACAAAGCACATGGCAGAGTTCTTAGACTATCCTAAGCTAAAACCACACTATAGCTTAACATGAAATATAAATCTACACACAAACATACCAATACTGCAGGATTAAGAAAAGAAGAACTCGTGGACTAGTTCTAGATTGATAAAATCTAAATTTAATTCAGAGAATTGTAGAGACAAATGGAGTAATAATCTTGGCTGGAGAGGAAAAAGTGCTAGGTGACACTGAAGAAGCTTTTTATATGAATAGAGATGAAATAGTATAATGTGTCAGATTATCTGCATCAAATGTCTAAAATAAAGTTATAAATATTCTTATACAATCTTATCAGGACACAAAGTTGGAAGTTTTGTTATATTACCTGGATCCATGAGGATTGAGCTGTGACTGCTTTGAGCTACAAGTCTCTCCTCATCCTCATTATCACTTTCAATAGGTGGGTCAGGCAGATGTAGTCTCATTGCCTGCATATGATAACACAGGGTCATTAAAATTAATCAAAATGTAAAGATACATTAATTTTCTTCTGGTAACATTACTTCCCATATAGGGTGTTTGAAACAAAACTGCCACCTGAAGTCGCTGATTGATGTCAACGGCTGGTTCTGTGCTAGTTGCTGTTAATTCATGTGTTGTTGATCCCTGATCCGGTTCTTGGTTCAGTGGCTGATATACATAGCCATTATTGATACTCTCTTCCTCCTCGTCTTCTGGTTCTTCACTACTCCATTCGCCAACAGGATCAACAATTCCATCAGATGGTTCTTGAAGCCCCAGCTCCTCATGCTCATTTGGACAGATCCTCTCTGGACCCATTCTCTGTGAAACTACTGTCTCTAAGGCCATGCAACTGGATCTGTACAGAACAAAGAAACTTGATATAAGCACCTGGCATCACAAAAGTAGTGAATGTAAAGAAAATTGGGAAAGAGTGTAGGGAACCAAGAGGTATCAGTTTGTCCCAGCAGATTCCATTCTAAATTAGCACACATAATTATCATGCTTAAGTACTATATGGTACAGTAGGTATCCAGCATTTTCAGAAACTGTTTCTGTCACTGGTGAAACTTTTACTTTGTTACCTATAACAATTTACCTATAACAATTTTACACATGCAATGCTATAGTAGTTAACCATTATTTATTTAATAAATCACAGTAGGCAAGGTTCACATAATATGCCAGTGCAAAACCAAATAAATCACAACATATGATTGCAGCCTCTAATATAATCAATAATCCTGCCAAACCTGTGATACCATTCTAAGCAAACTCTTGATCAGAGTATCGGTCAAAAATTAGTTTTTCAAACATGTAAAGCCATGTAACCATTACAGATAACTTGTTAATGTTTCAAATTTTACTCTGGGAAAATAAGTGACATGAATAGGAACAGAATAAAACCTGTCCTATTTACTATGGTAATTAGAGTAGAACCTGTCAAAACCACTCAATATATTTTATTTTCCTATTCGAAAATAGGAAAGTTAGAAAATAGGTGAAACATCCTGTAGAAAAATGGTGAAAATCCCAGATAAAAGATATACATAAAAAAAAAATTTAGAACCTCAGCAGTAGACATCAAAGCCAAAACAATTTTAAAATACATCTATATAAAATTATTGGATAAAATATCCTGCAAATTCAAAGCAGCAAAATTCCTAGTTACCATGTAATTATAAAATAGGCTCCATACAATAATTTAATGCACTAGAAGACATAATTAACTTTTCAATACATTAATACTTCTCCCCTTATACATGTACCCAGCAACCTTGTTTAGCCTACAAGGGTAGAATTAAGACCAAAGCCTATTTCTAGCAGCCAAAGGACAACCACAAGCTCCATATAAAATAAATAATACCTACCCTGCCCACCCTCAGAATAAAGATGCTAGATCAGCATTTTACCATCGACAGTCTCCTTTCCCACAACTCTTATTCCGTTTTAATACCATCCAAACCGATGTCAATTACTGCAGCTTATGGAGGTTTCTTTAGTTTAACTACAGGCAGTGTGCAGTCTTTTTTTTTGTCTCCTCGAATTTGGCTTAACTAATTACTCCAATTAATTGGGCACAAAGAGGAAGCTACGAGTCGGATCTATGATACGCAGTTTTATACCTCTTTACTAGCTCTTTTTATGTTAATTGAAGAGTTTAATCTACCTTTCAGGGTTGCTGTCGATATTAAAACAAGGTCATATATGAGAATATTTTTTGATGCTGAAACTTGCCCTCTATATTCCCATATTACCCCCTATCATAACCTCCATTTCCAACATCGCCTGCTCATCCCATTTCACGCTGTACGAACGGGCAACGTAAGTATTCCCTTGCACCTGCTAGGAAGAGCTGTCAGCAATCACCATTACCACCGCTACAAAATCTTCTATCCTCACCAAGACAAATTGCTCTCTCTTGCCGAAGACCGAACTAAAAGATCCCCGGAAGCAAGGCACATCCGGCCATTGAGAAAAGCGTCATAGTTAAGCGCGGCTGGAGGATTCGTAACTATGACGACGCGAGCCAACGCTGCACTTCTGAGACTTGACAACGTCTTTCACCATGTTTAGCTCCGCCCTTCTCACGATTATGTCCTTTTTTCCCTTTTCTGTAGCCTGCAAAAATGGTCTGATAGGTGCTTTACATGTGATCAGTTCTGCAGAAAAGAAAAGAAAAAAAAACATCCCCGTGAACGGGGCGCAGCTAGTATGTATTAGAAATCCATGGCAAACTATTTCTCGAGATTACATTGAAAAGGTGAATTATTAGCCCCCCCCTGATGAAAAACATAAGCCTTGTGCTGCAAAACATACTGATCTCTTAAAAGGCAACAGAGGGGAAGCTTTACGATTCAGCTGCGAGCTTTGGGGGCAGAAGCTCTGCATCAGATCAGAGCACAAGACATGGTTGTTGGCTGATGATCATTTCAATAGGCTACATAAATTCCAAAGCTTATTTGATTTGGAAGACTATTATTAGGTATTACTGTCTTATTTGTCACAGAAAAAAAGTAAAAGTGGTTTATTTTTCAGCTATCTTAAAAGTATATATCTCTCAAAATAGTTGCATAGTAGAAACACCTTGATGCAATAGTGACACAACAAACAAAAATAAAATTTAAAAAATCCTAGTTAATAAAATCAAGTCCAGATGGTAGTAAAATGCAAAGCTGCTAAAGGTTAAAACCTCAGTCCATATTTAACAACATGTGCATAATACTGCTATAGATTTGTCAATAAGGAGAAATACCCCCCCCAGTATCTTCTCTCACTTAAAATTAAACTGGGTTAAAAAGTCAGCTTTTCTTTCATCAGTTCTTAGCCATTATATTTGTACAACACATCCACTGCCTAATTTTGTGTGACTAAATCCATATTAAATGCCTAAACTATAAATGTATACAATCATAGCGGATAAATGGGAAGGGATATTACGAGTAATATAATCCAAAAATCCTACATAGGAATCTATTAAAACTTCTTAGACAAAACAGTTGGCTATCGCTTCCCCCCCCCCTTTTAAAATATCAAGGGGAGGGGGAGGATCCCACACTGTTCTAGTCTTAATTGTCCTTTTGCTCAACAGTTTCATTGGTGGTTAAAGTTAAACTGTCAATTATGACAGTTAAAGAGCGATAAATGGGTGGGTTTCCCATCTTTCCAAAGCGCATGTGTGAGGAGAGAAACAGCTCCCCCCCCACATACGCGCTTGAAATCTTTTCTTGCGCAACCTTACACTTCAAACGACGCGCAAACGTAGAAACACTACATTTCCCAAGCTCCCTTAGTGACTGGGACAACCCCCGCGCTTACGCGCCGATGCTGAACTCAGGCTGGGCCTGGATGAGGGAGAGGGAAAGAGAGAGATTGAGTCGCCTGAGGAGAAAACTGGACTTAGCCGGGCCGTTAGAGCGGGTATGACCCTTCGGGGCCGCAGGTCGGCCCCGCTTCCCTCTCTCCCGGGCAGGTAATGAGCGAGAATGAGCTCCTTCCGAGCCGCTGCCGAGAAGGACGCGGGTCCATCAGGGTTCTGCCGCGGGGCAGGTGGGCAAGACTCGCGTTGTGGGGCTCTGGGCATTGGAGGTGCAATCGGAGATCGTGACTCCGCTCGGCAGGATGTGAGGACGGCCGAATCCTCGCGGCCGTCAGGTACTGGGATGGCGGTGGAGGCCGTCCTCCAGGGAAAAACAATCATTATAACGCATGTCGATATAAAAGGGAGACCAGACCGCTGAGGGGTGTGACAGGACGGGCACTTTTTGTGAGCACTCAGAATCCTTAGCTAGAGTCTTAAAGGAGGCATCTTGGCCTTGTTTTTCCCTGGCCCCTTCCAGGTAGCCCGAACTGGAGCTCCCAGCATGTGCCCTCGAAGGTCACATGTTCTGACTGAGGTGGAGTATCAAAAATCCCCTCATAAATCAAGGTATGAAGTACCCAACGTCGAAATTATTTTACCAAATAGAATATCTAGGATTTACTTCATGTACACAAATGTATACCCGAATATTATAATCATCATCATCATCACGATCACGATTTGTTGGCCAGTGATGTCAGCAATAGGAGGTGCCTGTTGTAGGGAAAATCTGTTCTTAGATGAGGGGAATCAATTAAATCAAGTTGATATATAGAGATATAAGGCCAGTTTTTTTTTTTTAATCACAACAATCCCATAGATTTACAGTAGAAAATGTTTTCCTTTTGGCACCTGACATTCCCAAACTGTTTCCTTCCCTGTTTTATTTTTCCCCCCTTTATTCCTCCTCTTTGGTTTCCGAGGGAAAACAGGCACAGGAAGCAACCTGAGCTCCATTACCTATAGTAAAAACTTGAGCTCCTTATCTATGTGTATGAATGCATTACCTATAGTAATTTGAGATCCTTCGCCTATGAATATGTAAGCTTACATTATTTGTTACTTATGCATTAGTCTCACCTGCCGTTCTGAGATGTATAATTATGAGAAAATCTACTCTTTTATGTGATAGCATGTGCATATATAAATGTTTTGTACATTCTCAGACAAAACAGGTTTGCAAACCTTGATGTTTAAATATTATTTTTCTGAAATTTGGGAATGGGCTACAATGATAAAGCAATTTCATTGCTTTATGTAATATGGACAATGTAACTGCAAGTGCAGTTGAGCAAATATAAAAATTGGTTCACAATTTGCAGTTTAAGAAAAACCAAATGATGCATGTGTGAATTATAGTTATATTTCTAGCTGAAGCCAAATAACATATATGAATATTTGCACTTCTTTTTTTTTTTAAAATCAAAGCATAAATTGATTTCCATTACCCGTGGAAAACAAAATCCAAGAACAGTATTTTGGATATCTTAGTTTGTTTTACTGAAAATAGAATTTCTTGAAAGACGTTCTTCTAGAAAATACATTACTTTCTTTAATTTCCGTTTTCCCCTGAAATTTCTTCTGTTTCTTATAATCTACTGTGGAACTAATAATAACATTAATATATTTTAATTTCATACTGTGTAGTAGTTTGATTCTAACTGTGGAACTTTTGATTATAGTATATTTGTATCTGGTTTTCTTTGCTGTCTGGTCTTATTGTCAGCTTGTGTGATACATTGTTAAGGAAAACTGCAATATAGTTGAAATGCCAAGCTATTCATCAGATCAGGGTGCTTCGTTGAGTTGGATTTGAATGAAAATTTGGGACAAAAAGGACTCTTAGAATAAAAATAATATTCTTTTAATAACAAACCATATATATGTATATCCACACACAAGACACTTCCATTAAGAATTGTTGTACAAAGTAGTCAAGAATTTTTCATTAAGAAATTTCAGTTTAGAAATATAGTATCAGTTGACATTCATATTTTATTGTGCTTTTTTAAAATCGAAATGTTAATATATACTGCAAGTCCATGTATGATATGCCATACATAAAATTAATAAATCAGTTGACAGTGCATGTCTAATATATAAGTAGTTCTCATTTAATAATCATTCATTCAGCAATTGTTTGAATTTTTGACTCTGAGCAAAAGAGATGTACGATTGGTCCTTATAGTTGCGGCCACTGCAGGGTTCCCACAGTCATGTGACCTTGATTCAGGTGCTTAGCAACTGGTTTACAATCACAATATTCCAACATTCTGCAGTCACACTGCCAGCTTCTGACAAGTCAAGTTAATGGGGAAGCTGGCAGAGCTTCCTGACCCCAGGATGCTGCAACCATGTGGGATTCACCTAATGACAACAACTGAGAATGCTTGAACTGCCTTTTCCAACCATGTCGCTTAGCGATGTAATTCTCTCTCAGTTATCATTGGTAAGCAAAGACTGCCTGTAATAATGTACAACAATCTCTGAAATATTGGGAGTATTAATGCTGCTTTCTATGAAAGGTTGGATGGATCTCAGAAATATTGATTTTTGATCTACAGTATTAGAGTCAGTCCTACCTATTGAAGAAAAATCAGGGTCAGTAATTTGAGACATCAGTATGTTACCCCTGACTAAATTATATAAAGATTATGGTATTTTGAAAAACTCTAAATTTTAAAAAATTATGCCAGAAGAATAATGGTAGACAATTTGTACTTTGTGTACACATGGGTAGCACAATCTAAAACTATCTCTTAAAAGTTTTGCAACCCATTGCCTGGTTAAGCAAAGCTCATGGTTATATTGGTAGGACCAGAATGAGGTTGAGAGTTATTTTATGAGGTGAGGCAATGGCTAATTGAATTTAAACAAGTGCTTCTGTGTTTGGCAGAAAAAAACAGGCAATAGCTGCTTTTTTACACAGTTGTTCAGATAGTGATGTTTGTAGAATTGCTAACTTGTTTCATTATTTCATTTTATTGAACATTTTAAGGAAAATTTGTATATATTTATCTTGTTTTTAATTGAGCAGATGGGTGACATAAGTTCAATAAATGAATACATATATAAATATACATCTATTTAAGATACCTAGGATCTTTAAGGAGAAACAGCACTGTATATGGAATAATAATAGAATTTGATGTTTTCTGATAGAAACTTGATATTCTGATTGAATAAATTAAATATAGCTAGTCTATAAGGCCCCAAACCAAGAATTGACACTTTGCAGTACTTACAAGTTCAATTTTTTACTGTTTCACACTTATAGACAAAACCTTGCCAGACTGAAGATTATTACCTACAACTACAATTTAGTCTGTGAACTACCATATTACAGAGAGGCTTTCTTCACCCTCTTTCTCTCACACATGATATCTGGGCTGAGCTGATGTTGTTACTCCTCTGGAATGCCCTTCCCTCCTGGGCATCCACCTTATTACTTTCCATCACATAGTTAACAACTATGTGTTTAGGTTAACAACTGCTGTGTTTAGTTACTGTTAGAACCTACGATGGCTCTGAAAACGTAGCTTTGCACTTGTTTCTCAAACCTACAACAATCACAGTGTCCTGTGGTCACATGATCACCATTTGCAAGCTTCACAGCTAGCTTTCGACAAGCAAAATCAGTGGAGAAGTCAGCAGTCAATTGTAAGTTGTGGTCATATGATGTTGCACTTCACCACCACAGTAGAACTGTCATAAGTCTGTTTCAGTCTTCTGATATTTCAATCAATGACTGCATCACTTAGTTACGAAGTTGCTAGTCCCAATTACAATAGTTAAGTGAGGACTACCTATATATGTTAGCATACTATCATGAAATAATATCTGAAAGCCAATGAAGATATTTTCATCCTATCAAAAGGATATTGGTGGCAGCTAATTCTAATAAGTAATGTGATCATTATTTGAGAGCCAGTTGAAGTTTTTCTGTAATCTTTTAGAGCAGCCTAATATACAATAGATTGCTATAATTAAAACTTGATGTTCTGATAGCTTTTGAAATTCCTAGGAAGTTCTAGAGCAGTATTTTTTAAACTTGGGAAGTTTAAGATGTGTGGATTTCAACTCCCATTGTCTGGTTGGAGAATGCTGAAAATTGAAGTTCACGTATCTTAAAGTTACCAAGTTTAAAAAACTCTTCTAGAGCATTCACTTATTTCTGATGACAGAATGGCCATATAACAAACAGATAAGAGGCCAAGAAGGGATAAAACCTATAGTTCCAAAGCATATGTTAGGGTTGTTTAAGGAGAAAAAAGTATTTGACTGGCAGTTATTACTATTACATTGTTATCCCGTCTTTTAAAAACATGTTTGGCCGTTTCATGATGGCAAACCTATAAAAAATCCTGCCTGTTTTCCTTGAAAAAATAAATTTGTGAGGTTGGTTAGGATCAGAGAAACTGACTGGCCCAAAGTCACCCAACCAGCTTTCATGCCTGAGGCTTAGAATTCACCTGGTTTCTAGACTAGTACCTTAACTAACACATCAAACTGACTCTCTCTTCTCATTGGAAGCTAGAATAACTTTCTGAGATAAGAAGTGGCTGATTTCATGAAGGCAGCCTGTGAGCATAGTTTGCTGTAAACCTTTTATGGCTATTGTTGTTAACTCAGCTTGTATAAACTGTAGTGTGTGAACTTTCCTTTCGTTTGCCTTTCTGCATCTGGCATTCTTATTTGGCTTTGACAGTTTCTGTTTCTTGTGATATGCCATTTTAATGACATTTCACTAAAGGGAGACATTGAATCAGAAAAGAGGATTCAAACACTTGTGATCTTTTGTCATAAAATCTGTCACTTTTCAACCAGTGGCAAAAAGAAAGTAAAGGTATTTGCAAGGATAGAACATCAATAGTTGCAGAGATGCCACATTACAGGAGCTGATTTTAGATCTTACTCTGAATGCAATATTGGCAGTATTTGGGGGAGATGGCTTTACATTGACAATTTTGTGATGCGTTGGTTTCATTTTACAATATGAATGGGGGTACAATAGCCAAACAGTCACAAGTCAGGTTGTTCAAACTTTTAGATACATTTCCGGTGTGGAAATGAGAAAAGTGTCTTAATGTTTTATAAAAGGAATCAGCTTA